CTTTTCACATCCAACCTTTACTCTAATCCATATAATCCTTGAATTTACACATTAATATTCTCTTTTCTCCTTCCATAACTGATCCTTCAACATTACTGCTACCCATTCCTTTGCTCTAACTCTCTCAGATACTCCAGATTTAATCCCATTTATTTCCCCCCACCGAAACTCCCCTACCCCCTTCAGCTTTGTTTCGCTTAGGGCCAGGACATCCAACTTCTTTTCATTCATAACATCAGCAATCATCTGTTTCTTGTCATCCGCACTACATCCACGCACATTGAAGCATCCCAGTTTTATAAAGTTTTTCTTCTTCTCTTTTTTAGTAAATGTCTACAGGAGAAGGGGTTACTAGCCCATTGCTCCCGGCATTTTAGTCGCCTCATACGACACGCATGGCTTACAGAGGAAAGATTCTTTTCCACTTCCCCATGGACAATAGAAGAAATAAAGAAGAACAAGAGCTATTTAGAAAAAGGGGAAAACCTAGATGTATGTATATATATATATGCATGTGCGTGTCTGTGAAGTGTGACCAAAGTGTAAGTAGGAGTAGCAAGATATCCCTGTTATCTAGCGTGTTTATGAGACAGAAAAAGAAATCAGCAATCCTACCATCATGCAAAACAGTTACAGGTTTCTGTTTCACAGTCATCTGGCAGGACGGTACTACTACCTATATTTGTTGTATTATTATTACGTACTTGTTTAGTATCTGTGTAATCTGTAGAATGGTTTTTTTGCTACTTATACTTTGTACTGCTGGCATAAGCTCTCATATCACCTTCAGTACAATATTGATTCCTAACAGTTGTGCAATATTGATTTACTACTTGTTATAGGCATTATATTAACAGGTAGTAGTATCTTTATACTATTTATACACTTAATCTTACATTAGTCATATGATTGCAGACATCGATCCTGACATTAACCTGTTATTAAATGACACACAATCCTAACAACAATTGCCTTTACTACACTGTTAGTCAGGCTAAGACACTACTCAGTGCCAACAATAACATAACTGTATTCAATTATAATGTCAAATCAATAAGCAAGCACTATGATGACCTCCAAGCACTACTCAATTCTTTAAATGTCAGTATGTCTATCATTACTCTCACTGAAACATGGCTAAAACATGATGTTACAAACATCTATTCCATACCTGGCTACACGGCCATACACAAATGTAGGCCAGACCAATTAGGAGGTGGAACGGCTATGCATGTATACTACTCTGATGAACCAGAATGTATAAATTCTACTTGCACAAGGGATGAACATGGTGAGTATAGAATTGCTAAATTTAAATCCAAAGACCTTACAAAACCTCTAACAGTTGGAGCAATTTTCAGAGTTCCTCACTCCAATATTTACTCTTTTGGTGAAAAACTAAGAAACCTAATAACTAGTGCAGAAATGAAAAACACCCCCTGATACTTACAGGGGACTTCAATGTAAATCTCATCCATGACCATGACCCACAAGTGACTGAATTCATAAACATTATGTACAGCTGCTTACTTCTACCAACAATAACAAAACCTACAAGAATACCAAAACAAATGCCTCATTAGAAGACCATATCTGGACAAACACTATATCCCCATTAAAAGCAGCATAATCACAGATAACACCACTGACCACTATCCCATCTTTCTCATAACCAACTCGCGTAAATTGCCCCAGGACACAACTAAGATCACCTTCCGACTACATGACGAGTCATCTGTTAATAACTTTATTTCAGCATTAAGTGACACTGACTGGCAAAACGAGAGCTAGCTGACAACTTCCATACTAATGAATGTATTAATATTAAAAAAAAAAAAAATATATAACATGCATTGCCTAATAAAAACTAAGCAGATCACAGCGAAGAGACTAAACAGCCCCTGCCTTACAAGCAGCATCCTCAAATCTATTGATAAAAAACATCTATATGAAAAACAGTACAGAATGGGTTTAATAACAAAGGATCTTACAAAACGTTACTCGTCAATACCAACCAATCTAATAAGGAGATCCCAAAAACTGTATTATGAAAACAGATTTCATGACATAAAAGGCAATATGAAAAAGACCTGGAAAACCTTATCTGAAATTCTAGGATCTAAAAAGCTGTCACAAAACAGAATGATTAACTTAACTAAACCAGAAGACCCTCTCCTTCAGCCAACCGATACTGCCAACAAACTTAATGTTTTTCTCCACCGTAGGAACAAAACTACCAAGTAAAATCCCAAGCTCAAACATTCAAACAAAAGACTAAGTCACTGGCAAGTACCCAAATACTCTATTTTTAGCCCCAACAAACCCTACTGAAATCTCGATTATCATCAAAACACTAAAAAACAAGGCAGGAAACCTAAGCAACTTACCACCACCCACGTATAAAAAAAGCTTCTCATGTTGTCACCAATTATTGCAACTCTTTTTAACAAATCCACTGAATCTTCCATTTTCCCATCCATACTCAAGACAGCAGGAGTCACCCCAATCCTCAAAGGAGGTGATCCAACTGAACTGAACAACTATAGGCCTATATCAAACCTGCCCCTACTATCTAAAATCTTCAAAAATTAATTCACAAACAAGTCTATCATTACTTCGTATCCAAAAACATACTCAACCCTTGTCAGTTTGGGTTCAGACCGTAAAAAAGTACTAATGATGCTATTATACATATGCTTGAACTAATATATTCTGCACTTGAGAAAAATGAATTTCCCCTGGGACTTTTCATAGACTTAAGAAAGCTTTTCATACAGTTGACCATGACCTTTTGCACCAAAAACTCGAACATTACGGGGTCAGAGGATGCACTCTCAATTACCTAAAATCTCATCTTCACAACAGAACCCAGTATGTATACACAAATGGAGCAAGCTCCATTACACAACCTATTCTTGTTGGGGTCCCACTGGGAAGTGTCCTTGGCCCACTTCTCTTTCTCATTTACATCAATGACCTACCAAATGCATCTAATCTCCTTAAACCCATTTTATCTGCAGATGACAACTTATGTCTTCTCTCACCCAAACCCAGCTATACTAACAGACACTGTAAATGCTGAAATGCTAAAAATATCTACTTGGATGATTACCAACATACTCTCAATATTGACAAAACCTGTTTCATGCTTTTTGGAAACAAGAGCTTCAAATGTACAGCTAAACATATTGATAAATGGTTCACCTATTTCTAGACAGACAGAGGGCAAATTTCTAGGTCTCCACCTTGACTGCAGTCTCAGATTTCAGACACACATACAGCAAATTTCCAAGAAAGTCTCCAAAACAGTAGGCATCCTTTCAAAGATACGGTACTATGTACCCCAATCAGCTCTTCTAGCTTTGTACCACTCTCCAATAACCCTTATCTCACCTATGGTATTTGTGCTAGGAGCTCAACCACAGCAAATCACCTTAAGCCTTTAATAACCCAACAAAAAGCTGCAGTGTGATTGATTACTAACTCCTGCATTAGACAACACACCACCTCTTTTCAAAAGTATTAACTTGCTTAATATACAAAACATCCACACTTATTACTGTGCCTACTACATACACAGAACACTATAATCAAATGTAAACCCTCCTCTCAAACTCCTTGATAGCTATAACAGAACACACAACCATAATAGGAGGCACAAATCACTCTTCGATATCCCTCATGTCCATCTCTCCCTATGTAAAAATGCTATGCACGTAAAAGGCCCGAAGATCTGGAACTCATTGCCAGAACACACTAAAGGATCCCTGTCTGCAAATCAGTTTAAGGCCCTACTAAGAAATCACCTCATTACACAAAATTAACCAGACAAACCGTACCTAATCACTACCAGTTACTCAAAAGCTACTCACATTGTGCTGATGAATGCTCAACCACTTACTCACTACTTCAACATTAGGATGTCTAAATTTCATTGTTTTAAATAGTACCAAACTGTAATACATCATAATGTAAACTGTTTTTAAACTGTTCCATTGTAATACCAAATTTCATTGTTTTAAATAGTACTAAGCTGTAATACATCATATTTTAAATTATTTAAACTTGTTCCATTGTAATACTGTAATCTTTATAAACTAATTCAATAGTGTAATAATTCTATACTAGACTTATCAAAGCCATGTAGCATTACCTAATAGAATATTCAATTCTCTTGTACTTACTGTAACTCATCTAATGACCAAATAAACTATTATTGCCTTCCTAATCTTAAGTTAATCTTTAAGTTTGCCTGAAATGCTCTGCATACAAAGGGGCTTCTGGCATGTACACCCAACTATTATATTCCTCTGTACAACCACGTATCATGTCTAAATAAACAACTTAATCTTAATCATAAATACCATCTTAATTCTTTGATAGTTTTTGAAACAGCACAAGATTTCGAAGCTACTTTAGTTTGCTAACTTCATTCAAATTTATGAAACTTTGCATTCTAGTTTTTAAAACAAGTAGATATAGCATATGCCTAGGTAGTAGGTTGGTAGACAGCAACCACCCAGGGAGGTACTACCATCCTGCTAAGTGAATGTAAAACGGAAGCCTGTAATTGTTTTACATGATGGTAGGAATGCTGATGTCTTTTTGCAGTCTCAAACACGAAAGATTTCAGGTACGTCTTGCTACTTCTACTTACATTTAGGTTACACTACACATATATGTACAAGCATATATACACACACACACCTCTCTCTTTTTTCTATTTTCTTACTAGTTCTTGTTTATTTCCTTCTATCTCCATGGGGAAGTGGAACAGAATTCTTCCTCAGTGAGCCATGCGTGTCGTAAGAGGTGCCTAAAGTGCTGGGAGCAAGGGGCTAGTAACCCATTCTCCTGTTTACATTGCTAAAGTTAAAAAGAGAAACTTGTTTTTCTTTTTGGGTCACCCTGCCTCAGCGGAATACGGCCAGTTTGTTGAAAGACGATGACTAACATTCGTGCACATTCATTTCTAATTTCTATGCTGATTTGTATTTTACCTTAAAATCTTCACGAGCATGAGCACCACGAGACTCCTTGCGAGCCTCTGCTGAGAATATTGTCTGGATGGCATTGGACATAAGGTTCTGAAGTTCAAGGGTCTCAACCAAGTCAGTGTTCCATATTATCCCACGATCAACCAACTGAAACACACCAATTATTTATTGTTAATATTACTTGAACAAAATTTTTTGTCTCTGATCATGTTAGTACAGTACATCAAAATGTAATTGCATCAGCATGTAGCAAAAATATAACATTAGCAACAACTTATTTAATATGAATTAATTTACTGATACATCACAAAGATTAACACATTATAATACTTATGTTAGTTAAATATCAACGTAAGTAAGTTCACAATTAATAAAATACAGTGGATAAATTAAAGTGATGATTACTAAGCAGGAAAAGGACAACTTCAATCAAGAAAGAAATGTTGAACATTCCATGAACAGATCAGTCAGCACAGTTGGATAGGTCAAGTTCAGCTGTATAATTTACATAGTACCAGAACCAGTGCTTTTAATATGAGGATGCTAACAATAATTTGCTACTATCATTACCCTTTTCAACAAACACTTTGATACTACTGGATCAATACCAACTGCAGCTTATGTGACAAATTTACCATCACATAACAATCACAATATAAAGAATACATTTAAGTCCATAGGATGAAGTCCAAAACCATAGCTATAATATTTTCCAAGTCACAAGCAAGAAGTCACACTATTTAGCCATCAGAGATGGACATAAGTCTATGAATTGAAGTCCAAACTGGATCCATAATTTGTTTCAAGTTAAGGGTGGCAAGTCACAGCAACTTTTCACAAAAGGGAAAAATCTTTCTGTTACTGAAGCTGAAAATGAAATGCTGGGTTTCAAGTCATACACTAGTATGCTAAAATCCCCACCATTATAATGTGGCACAGTGCTTGGGGAACTTCCCTGGATGGAATATTTATGTTTCAACAATTTATTTATGTAGATTTCTGCGGGTTGAGGAAAATAATCCCTAGCATTCCACTACTGTACTTAACCCTTTCAGGGTCGAGAGGCCCTCTCCTAAACTTGTTCTCAGGGTAATAAAAAAAAAAAAAAAAAAAAAAAAATTTCTTATGAAAAGACAGAGAATCTTTTCCCGATCATAATGACACCAAAAGTATGAAATTTGATGGAAAACTTACGGAATTATGCTCCTGTGAAGTTAGCAGTCTCGACAATGTTTACACATCGGCGATTTCGCCGACTTTGAGCTCTATTTTCGGCCAATTCCAGTGTACTAGTCGACAAAAATCGTAACTATTTGGCTAGAACTCCATTTTTTCTATCAAATGAGTACAAGAAACCACCCATTTACCGATTTCAACTATTCAATACAGTGGTCAGAAATTAGCAATTTTGCCAATTTCACACAAATTTCAAAAGATGCCAGTTTCCAAATAGGGTCCAGAATAAACAAGACAGACATTCCTGGCACTAAAATAGCATTTCCTCTGTTCATTAGTCACGTCCCCAGGCTCCTCTTACATTTCTTTTGCTTTCCACTTTGAATTTTTATTCTCAGAAAAAATAGAAGATTTACTGTTATGCAGACTACTGCATTAGTGTAGAAAAGTTAAAAATAATATCGGCGCACTTGTGAAAGAATATTAGACTCACCAGTTGATGTGTATTGGACGCGTGGCATGATTTGCTTACTTTTGAACTTTGGCAAAAATCGAACATTTCTGCTACTTTGAGTTCATTTACAAGGTACTTTTCATTGTAAAACCAATCAAAATCATCTCAATTTCTGTAATATGTCTTCCATTCCATAAAATGAGACCAGGAAAACTAGAATACAACCATAAATATCATACGAAAATGCAGCGCAAACACGGTCAGTTTTTTTTTTTCTCATTATGCACTGTGTGCTGCAGGATTTTTTTTATACTGTGCACACTAACCACAGAGACCCATTCTTTCATATGTAGGCCTACCAGCTTTCTCTCGCTAGATTTGAAGGCGCTAGAATTTAGGCATATTAGTACGTCAATAACTCTGGTGCATAAGCTGTACTAGTACGTTGGAAACCCTGAAAGGGTTAAAATCGTGTTAGACAAACTCAAGAACTTATGGGAAAAATAGGGTTACCTTCCTGGGAGCCCCGAAAAAGCCAAACAGCTTTTTTTCTAGACCTCCAGAGCTTACAAAAATAAAAGTGAATATGTAATTGTAGTTCATTGTCGTGATGTATTATGTTGTTATTACTGATTAAGATTACAAATGCAACAGAAATAATAGTATGTCTTACCTTAAATTGTAGGTGCTGGTGCTTGTGGATGATTGTGGAGAGTGGAGAGTTATGATGTGGCTCAATTCTGTAATGGATTTCTGTTCTGTTTTACCCCACAGTACATTATACAACTGACAGTAAGGCAGCAGCTGCTCTAGACACTGTTTCAGGGTCCTCTTCAGTGAAGAAGTCAAATTTTAAGTCAGTAAATCAGTCAAGTCAGTCAGTCAAGCCAGTTTATCAGTCAAGGCAGTAAGTCAGCCAGTCAAGTCAGTCAATCAGTAATATTGTCAGTCAGTAATAGTCAGTTAGTAATACAGTCAGTTAGTAATACAGTCAGTAATACAGTCAGTCAGTAATAGTCAATCGGTAATATTGTCAGTCAGTAATACAGTCAGTCATTGATGTAAGTCAGTAAATCAGTCAAGTCAGTAAGTCAGTAATACAGTCAGCCAGTAAGTCAGTCAATAAATCAGTCAGAAAGTCAGTCACTAAATCAGTCAAGTCAGTAAGGCAGTCAAACAGTCATCACACAAATTCATATTTACCTCATTCTTTTTATATGCACAGAGATGCTTCATTACGGCCACTAGCTATCTCTTGTCTAATATTTCTATTTTCTTCGTAAGACTTAAATGCTTCAACCTTTTCTTGCCACTTTCAGCAACACTTGTATGCCTACTGGGTGCCATGATTGCTTGGCATATTTAACCGTTTCGGTCGTATATAAACGTCTTACAAGCCACCGTATTTGACGTATATATACTCAAAAATTCTAGCGGCTTCAAATTAAGCAGGAGAAAGCTGGTAGGCCCACGTGTGAGAGAATGGGTCTGTGTGGTCAGTGTGCACCGTATAAAAAAAATCCTACAGCACGCAGAGCATAACAAGGAAAAAAAAACTCCGACTGTTTTTTTTTTTTGGATTAAAACGCTGACTTTGTGGTGAATTTTCGTATAGTATTTATGGTTGTACTCTCGTTTTCTTGGTCTCATTTGATAGAATGAAAAAAATGTTATAGAAATAGAGGTGATTTTGATTGGTTTTACTATGAAAAGAACCTTGAAATGGAGCTCAAAGCAGGGGAAATGTTTGATTTTTGCCGATGTTCAAAAGTAAACAAATGATGTCATTCTCCATGAATGGGTTGACATTATTTATACAATTATTACAATACTGCAGTAGTCTGCATAACAATAAATCTTCTATTTTTTGCTTGAATAAAAATTTAAAATAGAAAGAAAGAGTAATATCAGAGGGGCCTGGAGACATGACTGATGAACAAAGAAAATGTTATTTTAGAGCCAGGAATGTCTGCATTGTTCATTCTGGATCCTATTTTGAAATTGGCATATTTTTTAATTTGCATGAAATTGGCCAAATTGCAAATTTCTGATCACGTTACTGGGTAGTTGAAATCGATAAATGGGCAGTTTCTTGTACTCAATCGATAGAACAAATGGAGTTCTAAAGAAATAGCTATGAGTTTGGTTGACTGGAACAATGGAATTAGCCGAAAATAGGGCTCAAAGTGGGTGAAATTGCCAATTCATAAATATCGCCGAGGTTGCTAACTTCGTGAGAGCATAATTCCGCAAGTTTTCCATCAAAAAAATTTTTTTGTATCATTACCATCGGGAAAAGATTCTCTATCATTTCATAAGAAAAAATGATTTTTTTTTTTTTTTTCAAAAATTTTTCAACACCAGAAGACACCTCAGGATTTGGGGTTTTGACAGTCAAGGGGTTAAGATATGGCAAGAAAAAGATATAAACTCCAAACAGAGGATGGTACATATCTCTCGGGTGACGTGCTCAAAATTTTTTCCCCTCCCGTGAATTGTGTTAATTTTACAAAGTATTATAAAAAAACATGCCGCAATTCTTGAAACGTGCTATAACCAAAATGTGCCAGACAAAACCGTGTTAAACGATGGTCTACTGTACTCCTGCAAGAGTACTAAATAATTAAGTATAATCTCTAACCTGAAAGTGTAATTAGCAATGATTACTGGCACATGTGCAATATTTGTCATGATATACAATAAAATATTGATATTTAGCATCTTACCTTAATGTCATTCAATTGAGGCCATAAAGCAGCAATTTTATCACAGCCTCTTTTCAGTACTTCACCAGTTCGGAACACAGCAGCATGACTCTGCATGGTTTTCTGCATTGTGGATCGTATTTCTGCAGTGAACATACTGCCTTTGGAAAACCTCAGCTTATCAATGTTGGCCACTGATGCCTCACCAGCATTCTGTAGAAGTCACCCGCAACCATTACTAATGAACTAATGCCAAGACAACAGTACACTTGTCTCTCTTTTTGTTAAGGGTCTTACAAGCTTTGTGTAGGAATGTTTCACAGATATTAGCTAGGTAATGCAAAGTATTTCAGGCTGAAACTAAAGCTACAGTAAAATTAAGAAAATTACAAACTGGATGTAAAAAATACAGTATAGGCAGGCCCCAACTTACAGTGCTTTGTTTTACAGTTTCGCTAATACGTATGTATTTCAATTATACCCATTCTTCACTTATTCAGGCTTCCTACAATAAGCATTCACTACTCACTATAAGCTAAGCAAAAAAATATTTTAAGATAAGTAATATGCGTAATGCCTATGCATTTTTTAGGCCTAGCTCTATTGCTCACTTAATATACGAGTGTAAACATGTTATCAAGCTTTTTGTATGCATCTGAAAGTGAAAAAAGATTATCTTTCACTTTACAGTGGTAGCCCAGAACCTAACCTGCTGTATAAATGGGGCCCCGCCTGTACAGTAAATGGAAAGTGACTGATCAAAATTAAACAGGAAATGGGTGTAAAGTCCAGATCTCAGCATTCAAATGCTGTTTGTTTATATTGATGCAAAGCTTTTGAATCTTCAAACTTTATTTCTTGTCATAAATACATGTACACTGCCCAATTAATATTCATAAATACACAAAGGCTGTGGAAAAAAAGGCCTTTTACATATATGTTACATCAGAATTGGAATATGCTGTTGTAATGTGGTGTCTGCATCTAAAAAACGTATGGATAAAATAGAAAAAAATACAAAAACATGCTACAAAATGGTTTACAAGCTTAAAAAAAATAAGTTATAAACACAGAAAAAAATGGTTGATAGTAGGAAAGGAAGAGGCAAGCCTTGCAGGTACACAAGGACAAAAGCCAACAAATGGGAATAAAAACATGGATAGCAGAAGATCCTTTTAATATGTTTCACCCAAGGCTGGGCTTATCAAGTACTTGAGATAAAAGCCCAATCTTGGGCAAAATGTTGTATTGAAAGGATCCTCTGCTACCAGTGCCTTTATTCCCAAGTATGCCTGCATTGTGTATGCAAATCATAAAATGATGAAATGCAAATTTCTTGGCACCAACAGAGAAATGATGAGGCCACAATAATCGAATGAGTGCATTACAAATTTTTCTGTACTAAGACCAAACAATAACCATGCCAAAATTTGTGTGTTGGCCTGGAGTTTTATGACTCGCTTGCTGTAAGTTTAATCCCCACTCGTACCGTGTTTTCTTTTTTTTTCAATAGTCATACCTTGCTTTAAGTGTGTTTCGCCAACACAGCGCTTTTCAGTTACGTATTACGTTTATTATCATTGGCACTTGCCTTGCTCTTAAGATGGTTTGTGGTGGTGATGCACACATCAACCAACTCTGAGCTAAAATGCAGTAATTTATTAAGTGCATGTTAGTCTAGCATTAATATGCAATTAATAAATTATTGCATTCTCTGGAACGTAACTCTGGTATTAGGGAGGTATGACTGTATCTAATATTACAATGTACTGTCTGGAAATAATTTCATGATAAAGAACTCACAGGAGATAGCTCTTTGATGGCATCACCAGGCTTGTTCTCCTGGGATATCGTGTGGGCACAAGCTCGACCAAACACCACAAGATCAAGAAGAGAGTTGGCTCCCAGACGGTTGGCTCCATGGACAGAGGCACATCCTGCCTCACCTGCAGCATAAAGACCAGGCACAATCTTGTCTCCTTGTCCATCATATGTAATAACCTGTGCAAAATATAAGCAATTATATTATTATTATTATAAAAATATACAAAACGTATGAAATTCATTACATTCTTATACTTATAGCTGAATTAAAGGGAAGAGCACTCTCCTGTCAAAAATTCCTATTACGGTAATAATTCACAAAATTCTGTAGAGGATTGTTTTCTCTAGGTAATTTATATATTGATCTAATGGCATAATGCTAGACAAGCCACACCCCACTTTTTAATTTGATTATTTGTTTATATACATATGCATCACCATGGGAAAGTGGAACAGAATTCTTCCTCCGTAAGCCATCTGTGTCGTAAGAGGCAACTAAAATACCGGGAGCAAGGGGCTAGCAACCCCTTCTCCTGTATACATTACTAGGGTTAAAAAGAGAAACTTTTGTTTTTCTTTTTGGGCCACCCTGCTTCAATGGGTTATGGCCAGTTTGTTGAAAGAAAGAATACACGTGCATGAGTGTGTAAAGGTAGAAAGTTGAAAGTGAACATAGAAAAGAGTAAGGTGTTGAGGGTATCAAATGATTTAGATGGATATCAAATTGGAGAGGAGGAGTATGAAAGAAGTAAATGTTTTCATATATTTGGGAGCTGACGTGTCAGCGGATGGATGTATGAAGGACGAGGTTAACCACAGAATTGATGAAGGAAAAAAGGCGAGTGGTGCATTGAGGTATATGTGGAGACAGAAAACATTATCAATGGAGGCAAAGAAAGGAATGTATGAAAGTATAGTGGTACCAACACTCTTATATGGGTGTGAAGCTTGGGTTGTAAATGCTGCAGCGAGGAGGTGGCTGGACGCAGTGGAGATGTCCAATGCATGCTGTAAATATTATGCAGAGATTTCGGAGTGTGGAAATTAGGAGATGGTGTGGAGTTAATAAAAGTATTAGTCAGAGGGCTGATGAGGGGTTGTTGAGGTGCTTTGGTCATTTAGATAGAATGGATCCAAGTAGACTGACATGAAGAGCGTATAAATCTGTAGGGAAAGGAAGGCGGGGTAGGGGTTGTCCTCGAAAAGTTTGGAGGGAGGGGATAAAGGAGGTTTAGTGAGCGAGGGGCTTGGACTTTCAGCAAGCATGTTAGATAGGAGTAAATGGAGACGAATGGTATTTGGGACTTGACGAGCTGTTGGAATGTGAGCAGGGTAATATTTAGTGAAGGTATTCAGGGAAACCAGTATTTTTATATAGCCAGACTTGAGTACTGGAAATGGGAAGTACAATGCCTGCACTTTAAAAGAGGGGTTTGGGATATTGGCAGTTTGTAGGGATATGTTGTGTATCTTTATACATATATGCTTCTAAACTGTTGTGTTCTGGGCACCTCTGCAAAAAGTGATTATGTATGAGTGAGGTGAAAGTGTTGAATGATGATGAAAGTATTTTCTTATTGGGGATTTTCTTTCTTTTTGGGTCACCCTGCCTCTGTGGGAGATGGCCGACTAGAAGCTCTAGTGAATCCAGACACTACAATATCACAAACTGTTGTCTGTTGGAGAAAATTGGGAAGGTATGCAAAAGAAAGAATTAACAAGTGAACACAGAAAAAGCAAGGTGATGAGATAAACAAGACAGTGAAAGATTGGATATTAGATTAAAGAGAGTGTGAATGATGTAAATGTACAGTATTAAAATATTTGAGCCAGACAATGGGTCTACAATAGATGAGATAGTGTTTTGAGGCATCTGTGGAAAAAAAATAAAAAAAGAGGTTTAACTACGCAGGTGAAATGGAGAATGTACAAGAATGTACATGGGTGAAAGTCATAGTTTTAAACGTCGCAGCGAGCAGGTGGTTAAAGGCAGCGGAGATGTTATGTTTACGAGCAATGTGTGATATGAATGTTATAAAGAGGATCCTGAATCTAGAAACTGGAAGACAGTATGGGGTTACTAAAAGTATAATTTATAGAGTGAGGATGGGCATGATGAATTAGTTTGGGCATTAAGAGAGGACAGTGTAGACTAGGATGACCAAGAGGATGTATAAATCTGGTGTGGAAGGAAATTAGGGGGTTGTTCCAGGAAAGGTTGGAGAGAGGGAAGTAAAGGAAGTTTTGAATACTGGGAAGTAGAGGTAAGTGAGGAAACTGGTTAGCTGGACTTAAGTCCTGGGGGTGGGAAGTAGTGACTGCACTCTGAAGATACCTGACAGGCACTGAATGAATGATGGTAAATGTGTTTCCTTTTCTGTCAACTCACTTTGTGAGTTGGTTAAAAGAAAATCTACTGTTCATTTTTAATTTCAGGGTCAAGCCACACTAAGAGAAAATGGGCAGTGAAAAAAAAACCTGCAAATTTTGAAATTTGTCTACAGATGTCCTTCAATAAATACCATCGAAGCTCATGAATCAAGATGACATTAATTTGTGGGAAATTAGTTGTATCTGCATGCCTGTGCAAAGACATTAATAGTGTAAATGATGGTGAAAGTTTCTTCCCTTTTTTTTTTTGTCACCCTGCTTTGGTGGGAGATGGCCAGCATGTTAAAAAAAAAAAAAAAAGGATATAATCCTCTTCTTTACCGTGACAATTAACAAACCTGTCCTTTGTAATTGGTTGGAATACCACCCATGTTGTAGTGGACTGTGGGAAGTACAGGGATGGGCTCACGAGTTACATCTACACCAGCAAAGATCATGGCTGTCTCTGAAATACCTGGCAACCTTTGTGCCAGCTGATCTGGAGGCAGATGGTGGAGCTGAAAGAAGAAAATATACCATTACTACCATATACTTTTGTAAATTTTGCTGGTTAATTGGATTTTTCACTATGGTTACAAATTTCTTCTGTGTTTTATGTTTCAAATGCAAAGAATCCTGCATAGTTATTGTACAATAGCAGTTATAATTGTCAGTGAAGATTTATAAAATATTTCCTCGAGTTTTCCAGGTGTTAAATCTAGCAAACAAGGTAAACCTCTAAAGTATCTATAAAGTATCTAAATTTTTTTTTTTTTTTTTTCAACAAGTTGGTCGTCTCCCACCGAGGCAGGGTGACCCAAAAAAGAAAGAAAATCCCCAAAAAGAAAATGCTTTCATCATCATTCAACACTTTCACCACACTCACACATAATCACTGTTTTTGCAGAGGTGCTCAGAATACAACAGCTTAGAAGCATATACGTATAAAGATACACAACATATCCCTCCAAACTGCCAATATCCCAAACCCCTCCTTTAAAGTGCAGGCATTGTACTTCCCATTTCCAGGACTCAAGTCCGACTATATGAAAATAACCGGTTTCCCTGAATCCCTTCACTAAATATTACCCTGCTCACACTCCAACAGATCGTCAGGTCCCAAGTAGCATTCGTCTCCATTCACTCCTATCTAACACGCTCACGCACGCTTGCTGGAAGTCCAAGCCCCTTGCCCACAAAACCTCCTTTACCCCCTCTCTCCAACCCTTTCGAGGACGACCCCTACCTCGCCTTCCTTCCCCTATAGATTTATATGCTTTCCATGTCATTCTACTTTGATCCATTCTCTCTAAATGACCAAACCACCTCAACAACCCCTCTTCTGCCCTCTGACTAATGCTTTTATTAACTCCACACCTTTTCCTAATTTCCACACTCTGAATTTTCTGCATAATATTTACACCACACATTGCCCTTAGACAGGACATCTCCACTGCCTCCAACCGTCTCCTCGCTGCTGCATTTACCACCCAAGCTTCACACCCATATAAGTGTGTTGGTACTACTATACTTTCATACATTCCCTTCTTTGCCTCCATAGATAACGTTTTTTGACTCCACATATACCTCAATGCACCACTCACCTTTTTTCCCTCATCAATTCTATGATTAACCTCTTCCTTCATAAATCCATCCGCCGACACATCAACTCCAAGTATCTGAAAACATTCACTTCTTCCATACTCCTCCTCCCAATTTGATATCTAATTTTTCTTTATCTAAATCATTTGATACCCTCATCACCTTACTCTTTTCTATGTTCACTTTCAACTTTCTACCTTTACACACATTCCCAAACTCATCCACTAACCTTTGCAATTTTTCTTTAGAATCTCCATAAGCACAGTATCATCAGCAAAAAGTAACTGTGTTAATTCCCATTTTGAATTTGATTCCCCATAATTTAATCCCACCCCTCTCCCGAACACCCTAGCATTTACTTCTTTTACAACCCCATCTATAAATATATTAAACAACCATGGTGACATTACACATCCCTGTCTAAGACCTACTTTTACCAGGAAGTAGTCTCCCTCTCTTCTACACACTCTAACCTGAGCCTCACTATCCTCATAAAAAGTATCTAAATACATATCAAAATATCTACACACAGCTCAAACACCTTTCATTAAAATTACTGCATATGCAGTCACAGGATGGTAGATGGCAATGTAACCTACAGATATCACGGTGCTTTATGCTTGACATGTCAGTATTTCAATGCTTAGTTACATTTATGGTATACCATAACCATACACTTTATCTAGTATACTTATGAGGCTTATTGCTCTATAATTCATACATTCACTCTTGCTCCCCCTTTTTTTTACCTTATACGTACAAAGGAACTAGGCATGATTGCTGCCAATCTTCAGGTGTCTTCCCTCTTTTAGTTTTTTTTTTCTTTTATATCAATGCCATCTTCTGCCAAGGCAGGGCAACTCAAAGAAAGAAAAAATCCCTACATTTATCCAATCATGGTCTTGTCAAAAATTTAGATTACAGTGGACCCTCGACCAGCGATGGCATCGATTAACGATAAATCTGACTAGCGATACATTTTATTGCAAAAATTTTGCCTCGATTAGCGCTAAAAAACTCGACCAACACTATTCGTTCCATCTGAGACGCGTCCACTTCTGGCCAGTGTTTACAAGCCAGCCAGCCACCGCGGTAGCTTCCAAGCATACAATCGTAACATTTCATATTATCACAGCCTTTTTAGTGATTGCACCTGCAAAATAAGTCACCATGGGCCCCAAGAAAGCTTCTAGTGCCAACCCTACAGCAAAAAGGGTGAGAATTACTATGGATATGAAGAAAGAGATCATTGCTAAGCATGAAAGTGGAGTGCATGTCTCCGAGCTGGCCAGGCTGTACACAAAACCCCAATCAACCATCGCTACTATTGTGGCCAAGAAAACGGCAATCAAGGAAGCTGTTCTTGCCAAAGGTGCAACTATGTTTTCAAAACTGAGATCGCAAGTGATAGAAGATGTTGAGAGACTGTTATTGGTATGGATAAACGAAAAACAGATAGCAGGAGATAGCATCTCTCAAGCAATCATGTGTGAAAAGGTTAGGAAGTTGCATGACGATTTAATTAGAAAAATGCCAGCAACTAGTGGTGATGTGAGTGAATTTAAGGCCAGCAAAGGTTGGTTTGAGAGATTTAAGAATCGTAATGGCATACATAGTGTGATAAGGCATGGTGAGGCTGCCAGTTTGGACCAAAAAGCAGCTGAAAAATATGTGAAGGAATTCAAGGAGTACATAGACAGTGAAAGACTGAAACCTGAACAAGTGTTTAATGGTGACACTGACAATGTTGTGAAACACTTTAGGAATGTTATAAAGGAACGGGAGGTACAGGCCTCTATGGGCAGATATGTTGTGCGACAGAGGTCCAGTGACTCTAAAGATGGTCCTAGTGGCATTAAAAGAAGAAGGGAAGTAACCCCGAAAAAGGACTTGCCACCTCAAGTCCTAATGGAAGGGGATTCCCCTTCTAAACACTAAGACCATCAACACACTCCCCTCTTCCCATCCCATCAATCATCACCAGATCTTCAATAAAGGTAAGTGTCATGTAACTGTGCATGTCTTCTTCAGTTTGTGTGTATTAAAATTAATATTTCATGTGTTAAAATTTTTTTTTTTTAAATACTTTTGGGTGTCTTGCACGGATTAATTTGATTTCCATTATTTCTTATGGGGAAAATTAACTTGACTAACGATTATTTTGACTAACGATGAGCTCTCAGGAACGGATTAATAGCGTTAGTCGAGGGTCCACTGTACTCTCCAACTACTATATCCCAACCACTTCTCTTCAGAGTGCAGGCACTGTCCTTTACACTTTCAGGACTAAAGTCTGACTAATGGGTTTCCCTGAATCCCTTCATAAAAGTTGCTTAGTACTCTCCTTCAGAATATACATTAAAAACTACTTGTCACCATTCAATTTTATCTAAAATGCTCACACAAGCCTGCTGGATGCTTAAGCCCATAAAACTCAAGCCCTCTCTTTTATCCCAATCTCACATTGTTCCTGGGATAACCCTTACCCCTCCTACCTTCCATTCAACCTGATGACACTGGAGGACAGTAGGACTAGGGAGGATATGATAACAACATACAAAATATTGAGAGGAATAGACAAGGTGAATAAAGGTGGGAAGTAGAAACAAGAAGGAACAACCGTAAAGTGAAAACTCAGACGAGTCAGAGGGATGTTAGGAAGCATTTCTTCAGCCTTAGAGATACTAGGAAGTATTTCTTCAGGCTTAGGGAATTCAGGGAGTGGAACTATCTGGGGAATGAAATTGAAGAAGTGGGATCCATACATAGGTTTAAGAAAAGGCAAAACAAAGCTCTTGAAGCCGGGAGTGAGTGGACCTAGTAGCAACTAGTAAGAGGAGGGGCAAGGAGCCGAGACTCGACCACTGCACCCACAGAGGCGAGTATGTATGCAAGCACATACGCATGCACATGCACACGCACTCTGCAAGCCTGGTCTGACAAATGGCTCCTGGAATTTAACCCTAGCAAGTGCAAAGTTATGAGGCTTGGGGAAAGGACAACAAAGCCCCAGAGTACAGCCTAAGAGGTCAAAGACTGCAAAACTCACTCAAGGAAAAGAATCTTGGGGTAAGCATCATACCAAGCAAATCTCCTGAAGCACACCAACCAAGTAACTGCTGCAGCATATGGGTACCTGGAAAACCTGAGAATAGCATTTCAACATCTAAGTAAGCAGTCATTCATGACACTGTACACTGTATATCAGGCCCATACTGGAGTATGCAGCACCAGTATGGAACCCACACCTGGTCAAACACATCAAGAAATTAGACAAAAGTGCAAAGGTTGGCAACAAGACTAGTCCCAGTGCTGAGGGGTTTGTTCTACAAGGAGAGGTTAAGGGAACTCAACCTGACAACACTGGAGGACAGGAGGGATAGGGAAGACATGATAATGACATACAAGATACAGAGAGGAACTGACAAGATGGATAGGGACAATGTTTCAGAAATGAGACACAGCAACAAGGGGTCATAACTGGAAGTTGAAAACTCAGATGAGTCACAGGGATATTATGAAGTACTTCTTCAGTCAAGGTTGTCAGGAAGTGGAACAGTCTGGAGAGTGATGTAGTAGAGGCAGGATCCATATGCAGCATTAAAGAGAGGTACAATAAGCTCATGAAGCACGGAGAGAGTGGACCCTGTAGCAACCATTGAAGAGGTGGGGACAGGAGCTATGACCCCTGCAACCACAATTAGCTGAGTACAAGAACTGTGACTCGACCCCTACAACGACAAATAGGCGAGTATAGGCTCTCCCACACTAGTGTGTATCAGTCTATTACAGAAAAAGTAGGAAATGTAAAATAAAGACATTGAAATAACAAGAAATCTGATTGGCAACTTACATATTAAAAGAATTTCTTGCCCCCTTACCTGTAAGAAGACATGATCTTTCTCGGGTCCACACCCTCGGCCCTCTAGAAGTTCTATCGTCATGGAGCGTGAGACAACATCCCGGGAGGCCAAGTCTTTGGCAACTGGTGCATAACGTTCCATGAACCGTTCTCCTTCAGAATTAACCAAGTAGCCACCTTCACCTCGACACCCTTCAGTTATCAAGCACCCAGCACCATAGATTCCTGTTCAGGAAAATTTAATATTCATAAAAAACACACTTGAACAATAACTTAAATTTTACTAATCATTAGTCCCAAAGTGAAACAATGAAACATTTACCATCATAACCATGTTATACATATACTGCAACTCATGCTTGGATCACATTCAGTGTGTGTTTTATTAAATAATTTGGCTTAAAGCAGCTTTCAAATATTCCTTTAACAAAAATCAGTGTGCTTTCACTGTGAAGCAGTGGGGATGTTGCAGCTCAGAAGATTACCTGAACTGTGATGCCCACACACTTCCAGTAAGACAGCTATTGAATGAATAACGGTAAATGCGTTTCCTCTTGTTAGGTCAGCCTGCCTCAGCAGGCGATATCCAGTGTGTTTAAAAAGAAAATGAAAGGTGTGACCTACTGTACTACATATAAGAGAAGCTCATAGAATTATAGAAACCTATGTCATGAAGTTCAAAAGAGAATTTAAGTCTAACACAAAGTTTTATGTCATCATGCTCTCAAGACCCATTGTGATATTAAATGAAAGTCAAACAAATGAATGTGGATTCAAACCACTAAATTTGTATGAATAGGTTTCTAAGAGGTCCCTGAGAATTTAAGAATTTGCATATACAGTAGGGCCCCACTTATACGGCAGGTTAGGTTCCAGGCTACCACTGGAAAGCGGACATTGCCAGGAAGAGTGACCCAAAAAAGAAAAACTTTCACCATCATTCACACATAATCACTGTCTTTGCAAAGGCACCCAGATATGACAGTTTAGATGTCACTCCAAACAGCCAATATCCCAAACCCCTCCTTTAAAGTTCAGGCATTGTACTTCCCACCTCCAAGACTCAAGTCTGGCTAAGTATACAACATTATCAGACCTTGTACATAAATCACAAAATATAAAACATTATCAGACCTTGTACATAAATCAAGAAAGAGGCTTTCGAGGGAAAAACTGAACCATATCTGCTGCCAGTGAATGATCAGTTAGACTGATGGTTATGTGGGTCTGAGGGCTCTTAGCAGCAAAGCCTAGTTGATCAGGCAGTCAACAGGAAAGCTTGGCTGACTAGTTAGTCAACAGCGAAGCCTGGTTAACCAGCCAGTCAACAGAGAAGCCTGATCTCAGGCTGAGCTGCAAGAGTAGAATCCTTAAACTAGTCAAAGGCCTAAGCTTGTACTACCCACTATTACCAGAGGGAGCATATAAAAACAAGTATTTGGAATACCACATCCAGCTGCCAAAACATGCTTATTTCTATAATTCTTCCACCACCTTCAAACGGAATCTGTATTGAAAAAAGGCTGAAAACAGGGTTTTAACCCTTTGTCTGTTGCAACCCCAAATCCTAGTCTCTCAGTGTCACAAAATATTTGATAAAAAAAAAAAATTTTTTTTTCTTATGAAATGATAGAGAATATTTTCCGGATCCTAAAGATACCAAAAGTACAAAATCTGATAGAAAACTTACGGAATTACGCTCTAGCGAAGTTAGCGATCTCAGCGATACATACGCATCGGTGATTTTGTCCACTTTGGGCCCTATTTTCGGCTAATTCCATTGTTCCAGTCGCCCAAACTCATAGCTATTTCTTTAGAATTCCATTTGTTCTATCGATTGAGTACAAGAAACCTCCCATTTACCGATTTCAACTACCCAATAAAGTGGTCAGAAATTGTCAATTTGGCCAATTTCACACAAATTAAAAAATATGCCAATTTCAAAATAGGGTCTAGAATGAACAATGCACATTCCTGGCACTAAAATAACATATTCTCTGTTCATCAGTCACGTCACCAGGCCCCTCTTATATTACTCTTCCTTTCCATTTTGAATTTTTATTCAGACAAAATAGATTTACTGTTATGCAGAATTCTGCATTATTGTAATAATTGTATAAATAATGTCAACCCATTTGTGACTGTGTATTAGAATGGCTAGTTGGACACTTACTGGACAATGATGTCATTTGTTTAATCTTGAACATCGGCAATAATCAAACATTTCCGATAATCTGAGCTCCATTTCAAGGTCCTCTTCATAGTGAAACCAATCAAAATCATCTCTATTTCTATAATGAGAATACCAAAATAAATACTATACGAAAATACACCTCAAATTCGGCGTTTTAATCCAAAAACACGGTCAGTTTTTTTTCTCATTATGCACTGCTTGCTGCAGGATTTTTTATACTGCACACACTGATCACACAGAACCATTCTCTCACATGTGGGAGTACCAGCTTTCTCCCACTTGATTTGAAGCCGCTAGAATTTTTGAGTATACGTATATACGCCAAACACATTGGTTCGTAAGGTGTATATATATACAGTGGACCCCCGGTTAACGATATTTTTTCACTCCAGAAGTATGTTCAGGTGCCAGTACTGACCGAATTTGTTCCCATAAGGAATATTGTGAATTAGATTAGTCCATTTCAGACCCCCAAACATACACGTACAAACGCACTTACATAAATACACTTACATAATTGGTCGCATTCGGAGGTGATCGTTATGCGGGGGTCCACTGTATATGACAAACAGTCAAAGGGTTAAATTCAAATAAAGGATATTTACCGGTGGGATGGAACTGAACAAATTCCAAGTCCTGACAAGGTAGATCAGCACGGGAGACCATTGCGGTGCCATCACCAGTGGAGGTGTGAGCAGAGGTACAGGAGAAGAATGTACGACCATAACCTCCAGTGGCCAGAACAGTGTTTTTGGAATGGAATCTGAAAAAAAATTAATGAAGGGTAAACTAAATAAATGATATTATGGATTTAGAAAAGGCATATGACAGAGTGGACAGGGAAATAATGTGGCAGATGTTGCAAGTGTATGGAATGGGCAGTAAGCTACTAAATGCTGTAAAGAGTTTTTATGAGGATAGTGAGGCTCAGGTTAGGGTGTGTAGGAGAGAGGGAGATTACTTCCTGGTAATAGAAGGTCTTAGACAGGGATGTGTAATGTCACCCTGGTTGTTTATATTTATAGATGGGGTTGTAAAAGAAGTAAATGCTAGGGTGTTGGGGAGAGGGATGGGATTAAATTATGGGGAATCAAATACAAAATGGGAGTTGACACAGTTGCTCTTTGCTGATGATACGGTGCTTTTGGGAGATTCTAAAGAAAAGTTACAACGGTTAGTGGACGAGTTTGGGAGGGTGTGTAAAGGTAGAAAGTTGATAGGGAACATAGATAAGAGTACGTGATGAGGGTATCAAATGATTTATATAAGGAAATATTGGATATCACATTGGAGAGAGGGAGTATGGAAGAAGTGAATGTTTTCAGATATTTGGGAGTTGACTTGTCAGCAGATGGGTTTATGAAGGATGAGGTTAACCATAGAATTGATGAAGGAAAAAAGGCGAGTGGTGCGTTAAGATATCTGTTGAGACAAAACATGTTATTCATGGAGGCAAAGAAGGTAATGTACTAAAGTATAGTGATACCAACACTCTTATATGGGTGTGAAGCTTGGGTTGTAAATGCTGCAGCGAGGAGGCGGTTGGAGGCAGTGGAGATGTCCTGTCTAAGGGCAACGTGTGGTGTAAATATTATGCAGAGAATTCGAAGTGTGGAAATTAGGAGAAGGTGTGGAGTTAATAAAAGTATTAGTCAAAGAGCTGAAGAGGGGTTGTTGAGGTGGTTTGGTCATTTAGAGAGAATGGATCAAAGTAGAATGATATGGAGAGCGTATGTATCTGTAAGGAAAGGAAGGAGGGTAGGGGTCATCCTCGAAAAGGTTGGAAGGAGGGGGTAAAGGAGGTTTTGTGGGCGAGGGGCTTGGACTTCCAGCAAGCGTGCGTGAGCATCTTAGATAGGACTGAATGGAGACGAATGGTATTTGGGACCTGACGAGTTGTTGGAGTGTCAGCAGGGTAATATTTAGTGAAGGGATTCAGGGAAACCAGTTATTTTTATATAGCCGACTTGAGTACTGGAAATGGAAAGTACAATGCCTGCACTTTAAATTAGGGGGTTTTGAGATATTGGCAGTTTGGAGTGATATGTTACATATCTTTATACGTATATGTTTCTAAACTGTTGTATTCTGGGCATCTCTACAAAAACAGTGATTATGTATGAGTGAGGTAAAAGTGTTGAATGATGATGAAAGTATTTTCTTTTTGGGCCATCCTGCCTCGGTGGGGGACGGCCAACTTGTTTGAAAAAAAAAAAAGTTTATACAGCAGTGTACTGTACATGTTGTAATAAACAGAATAGAGGAAATCAGCTCTAATATACAGTGGACCCCTGGTTCGTGATGCCATCGGTATCCGATAAATCCGGTATTTGATGCATTGTATCGCAAAATTTTGCCTCGCTTCCGGTTACAAAACCCGGTATACGCGATTCGTCTGAGACGTGTTCACGTGTGGCCTGAACTGCCCCGTGTGTGCCAGTGTTTACAAGCCAGCCAGTGTGCTCGCATCTAAGGATACATTCAGTACATTCCATGTTATCACAGTGTTTTTGGCGCTTGTTACTGCAAAATAAGTCACCATGGGCCCCAAGAAAGCTTCTAGTGCCAACCCTTCAAGACCAAGGGTGCTAATGACTATTGAAATGAAGAGAGATAATTGCGAAGTACGAAAGTGGAGTGCATGTGTCGGAGCTGGCCAAGTTGTATACAAAACCCCAATCAACCATCTCTACTATAGTGACCAGGAAAATGGCAATCAAGGAAGCTGTTGTTGCAAAAGGTGCAACTGTGATTACGAAACAGCGACTGCAAGTGTTAAAAAATGTTGAGAGACTGTTATTGGTGTGGATAAATGAAAAACAGATAGCAGGAGATAGCATCTCTCAAGCGATCATTTGTGAAAAGGCTAGGCAGTTGCATGACGATTTGGTAAAGAAATTGCCTGCAACTAGTGGTGATGTGAGTGAATTTAAGGCCAGCAAAGGTTGGTTTGAAAGACTTAAGAATCGAAGTGGCATACATAGTGTGATTAGGCATGGTGAGGCTGCCAGTTCCGACCAAAAAGCAGCTGAAAAATATGTGAAGGAATTCCAGGATTACATAGACAGTGAAGAATTTAAACCTGAACAAGTGTTTAATTGTGATGAAACAGGCCTGTTTTGGAAGAAATTGCAAAGCAGGACCTACATTACTCAGGAGGAAAAGGCACTCCCAGGACATAAGCCTATGAAAGACAGGCTTACTCTTCTGATGTGTGCCAATGCTAGTGGTGATTGCAAAGTGAAGCCTTTATTGGTGTATCACTCAGAAACTCCCAGAGCGTTCAGGCAAAAGATATCCTCAAGGCTAATTTGTGTTCTGTGGAGGGCAAACACTTAGGCATGGGTCACTAGGGACTTTTTCTATGACTGGTTACACCATGCATTTGCCCCCAATGTGAAAAATTACCTAATTGAAAAGAAATTAGACCTTAAGTGCCTCCTGGTATTAGACAATGCCCCTGGTCATCCTACAGACTTGGCAGAGCGACTTTCTGGGGACATGAGCTTCATTAAGGTCAAGTTTTTGCCCCCTAATACCACTCCTCTCCTGCAGCCCATGGACCAGCAGGTCATTTCCAACTTCAAGAAACTGTACACAAAAGCTATGTTTGAAAGGTGCTTTGAGGTGACCACAGACACTCTATTGACTCTAAAGGAGTTTTGGAAGGATCACTTTAATATCCTAAATTGTGTAAACCTTATAGGTAAGGCTTGGGAGGGAGTGACTACAAAGACCTTGAACTCTGCCTGGAAAAAACTGTGGCCAGAATATGTAGACAAAAGGGATTTTGAAGGGTTTGAGGCTAACCCTGGGAATCCTATGTCAGTTGAGGAATCCATTGTGGCATTGGGGAAGTCCTTGGGGTTGGAGGTTAGTGGGGAGGATGTGGAAGAGTTGGTGGAGGAGGACAATGAAGAACTAACCACTGATGAGCTGCTAGATCATCTTCAACAGCAAGAGGCCAGACCTGAGGAAACTGCTTCGGAGGAGGGGATGGAGAAATTGAAGAAGTTGCCTACTTCAAAGATTAAGGAAATGTGTACAAAGTGGCTTGCAGTGCAAAGCTTTTTTGATGAAAATCACCCTCACACAGCTACTGCAAGCCGTGTTGGCAACCTGTACAATGACAATGTTGTGAAGCACTTTAGGAAAGTCATACAGGAACGAGAGGTACAGGCCTCTATGGACAGATATGTTGTGCGACAGAAGTCCAGTGACTCTCAAGCTGGTCCTAGTGGCATTAAAAGAAGAAGGGAAGTAACCCTGGAAAAGAACTTGCTACCTCAAGTCCTACTGGAAGGGGATTCCCCTTCTAAACAATAGGTTTGACACTCTCCCCTCCTCCCATCCCATCAATCATCACCAGATCTTCATTAAAGGTAAGTGTCATGTATTCTATTGTTAGTAGAGTACATACTACAAACTGTGCATGTCTTCTTCAGTTTGTGTGCATTACACTTAATATTTCATGTGGTAAAAGTTTTTTTTTCATACTTTTGGGTGTCTTGCACGGATTAATTGATTTCCATTATTTCTTATGGAGGAAAATTTATTCGCTTTCCGATAATTTTGGTTTACGATGAGCTCTCAGGAATGAATTAATATCGCAAACCAGGGGTCCACTGTACATTATTTAGGTATGCATACTGGTCAGAGAGCCCGATGTAAATCCTAGTCATCGGTAAACGAGTACGTCATTAAGTGAGACGCTGTATTAGTGTTCAATACTAGTAGTTACATTATAATTATCATTATTGCATTACAATAAATTATCCTTCATTGTGGAGGAGAGTATCAGGGTGTGTGGCATTGTAAAAAATATATTGGGGGGGGAGGGGGGTCATTCTTTCTCAGCATTTAAATATCTTTCTAATCGCCTTTCTAATTAATTTTCTTGAGAAAGACTTTACAGATAGAAAAGTGTAGGTAATCAAATGAGCACATTTTATACAAAAAACTGATCAGTTTTCCATTTAGGGGTCATGAGAAAAGCAAAAGGAAAATGGCCATTGTACAATAAAAATCCAGTTCATGATAGATTTGCAGTAAAAGTAAATATAAAGATACCACACATGCACTAAAATAATTTCACTTACAAAAAATGAATGCATCTGATATACTAACATTAAACAATAGATCAAATAATTTCACTAAGAATACGGGGCATATGAGAAAATCTGTTATACAGCATTTCAAGTGTACTGTCAAGATTAATTTTTGTAAGGGTTGATCACAAGAAATGGCTTTAGGGATAAGAAATATTGAACAATGAGACCATATTCAGGTCCTTTCCAAGGCTGATTGGATATTTCCATTAGTTTTTGGCCAAATCACTTTAAATGCTGTAACTGCCTTTAAATTAATTTTAAAACAAAAAAAAAAAAAAGAAAGGAGAGAGATTTCCATGTGGGAAATCCAATGAGCAAATTTTGAATATAAGCCAATAGTTAGTTTCAATCTATGAGTCTTGAATGAAGCAACAAGCACAATATCAATCATAAATTTTTTTTTCACACTTTGTGACTCATTTACCTATTTGTATATAAAAAAAAAGCATACCACACATTTACCAAACATCCCTATTACAAAACTCAATGCATCTGATAAACAATCATGTTAGATAAAAGAAAACAGTCTCACTTTGAGCTCAACCCACAAGAGGAAGATGACTACAGGTTGGCCATATCACCAACTTGTATTAATTTACAGGGAATTTTTAAAGGTAGGATGAGATGCTTAGCTGTGATCTGGCAAAATCACTAATCAGGCACCCTATAGGTCCCAATGATGCCGGATTAGTGATGGTCGACCTGTATATTTCTCAAATATACAGGTTGGTACTCAAATTCATTTTCATAAAACTGGTGATTGTGCAAATGCATCAAAGAATGATGCTGAGATAAATGGCAAGCTAATCAGTTTTTATACCCTAAAATAAACAAATTCAATGAGAGTTAAGTGTCTGACACAATGCTGCACTCACAAATGGAATATTTATATTCATCAGTTTCTTATTAAATGCTTATGGACCAAAGGATGACTGATCCCTGGACTAAGGTAACAGTTCTCCAGAGAATATATGATTATGCAACCTGTCACCAGATCAAATTAGACTGCTGGATAATGTTGGATGCTGAAGAACTAGTGCCAGCTAGTTAATAATTTACTGTGTTACACTGGTAAGGAAAAACATACAATTAAGGAAAACATCAAGAGAAAGGTGAAAGAAAATACTGTATTTTGTGATACACCAGAAATAAATCTTTATGGACTCAGTAAGAGATGAAGCAGCAAGGAATAAAAGAAAAAATATACGAAGAAAAGCCAATTGTTGACTTCAAAAGTGAAATAGAAAAAGAATAAAAAACAAACTAAAAAACTAATTAGTAGTATATCAGTCAATGCTTTAGCACAACGTGGAAAGGAGGGGGGGGGGGGGGAAGATGTATAATACCAGGCATATTTTAAATAAATTTATGAACTAAAGTGTGAGACTTTTACCTATGGATTGAGCCATCTTCTAGGCAGAGTGCTATAACACCACAGCATTCACCATCTTCCATCAGGAGATCCAGAGCAAAATATTCAATGAAATAATTGCAGTCATATTTCAGGGACTGTCCATATAGTGTGTGTAGCAGAGAGTGGCCAGTCCTGTCTGCCACACAGCAGCATCTTAAAGGGGAAGAAAATATGTAAGGTACAGCATAAATGACTATTAAAAATAACATTCATAGCTACAAGAACAAATATCTGAAATTGCCTATTTTTAGTAAGAAGTGCACAGCTATTTGAAATCATCAAATAGCCAAACTTGAGTCCTGGAGGTGAGAAATACAGTGCCTGCACAATGAAGGAGACGTGGAGATGTTGTGGCTTGAAGGGTCATCTGAGCTGTGATGCTGGTGACCTGGCAAGACTGTGATTGAATAAAAGAGTTTATGTCTTTGTCAGGCCACTGTACCTCAGCTGGAGATGGGTAATGTTAAAAAAAAAAATTATAACAATTATAACAACTTGGATATATCTTACCTATTTTTTGTTATTAAAGTCCAATACCATACAGCAAATCCTTAATTTAATTAATGAACTAATAGGAGTAAGCCGGTGGTGGGTCTGGGGTGTATAGATAAGACTGCTTTGCTATGATCATAAAATAATGTACAATTCCAAACCAACTCCTCCACTGGATTCTGTCCCATATTTCTGCCATACATTAAATCATGGGCATACTGTACAGTAATGATTTTTGCTTCTGGTAAATTTTCAGTAATATATCTCTTAAGAGTAAGTACATCTGCATTTGTCTCATCAAATTATTCTCTACCCTACGTAGAGTACAGATATTAAATGATAAGTTGTATGCATTTATGAGCTTTTCATCTTAGATTTAGATTTTTACTAGAGTAAACCCTCAACATAACAGATTATTGATTGTCTGTTAAATCAGAATGTTAAAAAATAGCACAAAAGTACACTAATACACTCTACTATATACCTGAAATAGTATTTTACATGAGTTAGATATACTGCAATGAACAGTGAAAAATAAAGAAGGAACAATTTAACCAGGGAAGTTTGCCTATACTTTTAAAAGTCTGTTATATCATAGTCTATTATACTGAGAGTTTACTGATTAAAAATTTCAATGCTGTATACAGTACTGTAGTATTAAACTATATGTACCCTGTAGAGCTTACTTACCAACATACAGTACATACTGTACTATCAAACAACCACAATTTTATCTGCTACTGGCTCTTTAGAGAATTTTCTTTCAAAAGGTCAATTAATTTAAATGGTTTCTGATTGATTTGTAATACCTGGTTTATTTTCTGATTGTTGTATCTAATATCACTGAGAGTTTTATAAAATATTAATAAATTTGTCTCTGGCTTTTCTGGTAATTTTTTTTTACTTTTAGACTGTTTTACTATTGTTTGTTCTGTGACCTGACTGCCCATCAGATAGGTGGTTTTAGATCTATCACACTGTAGAAGAATGTGCCATTTTCTTCCTCAATTTTTAGACTTTCCTTCTTTAGCCTTTTATCTGTTTTTATTTTTTTTCCAAGTTAATAAAGTCTTGCCTAGTACATATCTGATAACACCTCTTTTTTTTTTTTCTTAAAATGTTTCTTTTTGTTTTCCTTTCTTAATAGAATTTATGTACTGGTTTGTTAGTTTCAAACTTATGTCTCTCCTATTTACCTATCCTTCTGTCATTATGGCAGTTAAATGCTCTATTAAGCTACAACATACATGAAAGTACTTTGTGATCAGTGCACTCAGTTCACACACTGAGGTATAGGGGGTCGATCCCTGGTACAGGTGGAAATACTGTATTAGGATGTGCTTCCTTAAGGCTCCTGCTGTCCCTGTTCGTCTAGCAGTAAAATAGGTACCTGGGTGTTAGTTGACTAGTGTGGGAGAAAACTGAACTAATTTTCCCAAAATGCTCTGCAAAACAAGGGGATTTCTACAGTGGACCCCCAGATTAAGACGTCATCGGATTAAGTAACGTTTTTGCGTCAAAATATTGGCTCAGTTAATGACAATGAACTCAGTTAAAGTCATTCATCCCAGACGTGTCTACGTGCCGTGAGCCAGTGTGCCATTGTTTACAAGCGAGTGAGGACGATTCCACGCGTACATGCAATATATTTTGTATTATTCCATTGTTTTTAGTGCTTGTAACTGCTAAATAAGCCACCAAGGGCCCAAAGAAAGCTTCTAGTGCCAGCCCTTTGGAAAAGAGGGTGAGAAACACTTTAGAATTCAAGAAAAAGTTTGTAGAAAGATACAAAAGTGGTGGTGGTAGAGGGTGGTAGGGTACTTCCCCACACACACGATTTGATTTGATTGGGACTTGCACACAAGTGAATAGAATTATCAAAGCTTATTGCTTGTGAAGCATTGAAAATTGAGTTCGACAAATACGATTCTGTTAGTGGGATGGTTTGTGAAGGACCTGCCTAGTATGGGCCAACAGGCCTGCTGCAGTGTTCCTGCTTTCTTATGTGCAAACAATTATGGATGAACATCACTGACACATCTGTTGCAGGCCATGCTGGCAACTCCTACAATGACAATGTTGTGTCCCATTTTAGGGAAGTCTTAAAGAAACACCAGAAACAGAGCTCTCTGGACAGATATTTTGTGCAACAGGTGTCCAGTGACTCTCAAACAGGTCCTAGTGGAATTAAAAAACAAAGAAGGGAAGTAACCCCAGAAAAGGACTTGGTACCTGAAGTCCTTATGGAAGGGGAGTCCCCTTCCAAACACTAGTAAGTACTCCATCCTCTCCCTTCCTCCCATCTCAACACTCATCAATAAAGGTAAGTGTCATTTTATTATTTATTTATTCTGCATGTCTCATTGTTTTCTGTGTAGAGAAATGTATATTACATGTAAAAAATTATTTTGTTTAATACTTTTGGGTGTCTGGAATGGATTAATTGAATTTCCATTATTTCTTATGGGGAAAATTAGTTCGGATTAAGACAGATTCGCTACAAGACATGCTCTCTGGAACGGATTAATGTCGTTAACTGGGGTCCACTGTACATGGCAGTATGTCATTGATGTCAGCTAGGCCTGACATGTACTTGTAGAAATAAATATTATTGTTATTATGAAGTCATAAATGGAAAAACTATTCTATGATTAACTTGAATGTTAAAAAGTATAATAAACCACTAACCTGTGAGCCTGACCTCCTTTGCCAAAGTTGTAACTCTGACCACCAAAGGCTCGCTGATAGATTTTGCCATCCTGGGTGCGACTGAAGGGCATCCCTGAAGATTTCAATACTTTAATTCAGTGATTCATTCATGAATATCTGCACAAAGAATACAAGATAACCATCACTAATCCGGCATTGCTGTGACTTGTAGGGTGCCGTATTACTGATTTTGCTGGATTACAGAGGGGTTAGGTTAGAATACACTTATTTACTCATTGGTGATTTCACCCACTTTATGCCCTATTTTTGGCCCATTCCATTGTTCCAGTCTACCAAACTCATAGCTATTTCACTTGTATTCCTTCTATTCTGTCGAGTGAGCACAAGAAACTGCCCATTTATCTATTTAAACTACCCAATAAAGTGGTCAGAAATTGGTAATTTGGCCAATTTCACACAAATTTCAGAATAAACAATACAGACATTCCTGGCACTAAAATAACATTTTCTCTGTTCATTAGTCATGTTTCCAGGCCCCCCTCTTATATTACGCTTGCTTTCTATTTTGAATTTTTATTCACACAAAAAATAAAAGGTTGACTTATGTAGATCACTGCATTATTGTATTACAGTGGACCCCCGGTATTCGATGGCATCGGTATTCGATAAATCCGGTATTCGATGCATTTTAATGCAAAAATTTTGCCTCAGTATCCGATTGAAAACCCGGTATTCGATACGATTCATACGAGACGTGTCCATGTGTGGCCTGAACTGCCCCGTGTGCGCCTGTGTTTACAAGCCAGCCAGTGTGCGCGCATCTAAGAATACATTCGGTACATTCCATATTATCCATATCACTGTTTTTGGTGTTTGTTTCTGCAAAATAAGTCACCATGGGCCCCAAGAAAGCTTCTAGTGCCAACTCTGTGGTCAAAAGGGTGAGAATTAGTATAGAAATTAAGAAAGATTTTGAAGGGTTTGGGGTTAACCCTGAGAAGCCTATGCCAGTTGTGGAATCCATTGTGCCTTCTTCAAAAATTAAGGAAATGTGTGCACAGTGGGTTGAACTGCAAACCTTTATGGATGAAAATCACCCTAACACAGCTATTGCAAGCCGTGCTGGTGACTATTACAATGACAATGTTGTGGCCCATTTTAGACAAATCGTAAAGGAACGGGAGGTACAGAGCTCTATGGACAGATTTGTTGTGCGACAGAGGTTCAGTGACTCTCAAGCTGGTCCTAGTGGCATTAAAAGAAGAAGGGAAGTAACCCTGGAAAAGGACTTGCTACCTCAAGTCCTAATGGAAGGGGATTCCCCTTCTAAACACTAACACCATCCACACTCTCCCCTCCTCCCATCCCATCAATCATCACCAGATCTTCAATAAAGGTAAGTGTCATGTAACTGTGCATGTCTTCTTCAGTTTGTGTGTATTAAAATTAATATTTCATGTGGTAAAAATTTTTTTTTTTCATACTTTTGGGTGTCTTGCACGGATTAATTTGATTTCCATTATTTCTTATAGGGAAAATTGATTCGTTTTTCGATATTTTCGGTATTCGATGAGCTCTCAGGAATGGATTAATATCAAATACCGGGGGTCCACTGTAATTGTATAAATAATGTCAACCCATTCATGATGGCATATTAGAGTGGCCAGTTGGACACGTATTGGATGATGCCGTTACATGTTTAATCTTGAACATCGGCAAAAATTAAACATTTCTGCTACTTTGAGCTCAATTTCAAGGTGCTTTCCGTCATGAAACCAATGAAAATCATATCTACTTCAGTAATATATCTTCCATTCTATCAAACAAGACCAAAAAAAATGAGAATACAACCATACGAAAATACACCACAAAGTACCTGTTTTACACCAAAACCACGATTGCAGTTTTTTCTCATTATACACTGCGTGCTGCAGGATTTTTTTTTATATAATGCACACTCACCACACAGACCTAGTCTCTCATATGTAGGCCCAAATTTACCAGTCACAGCTGATCTGAGTGAGCCGAGCTCATTGCGACTGACGGTGGTTTCAAAGCCACCTTCCCTTTCATAGACAATGTACTTTGTATGTGCTTTACACAATGAGAAGCATTTCTTTTATTTGTTGGAACCATGGTAAGAGCTAAAAGTGAGCAGGTTATAACAATAAACGGAGAAAAAGAAATTGGAATGACCTGTGCAGCAAGTAGCGCCACCAAACAGTAGCGGCAGGTTGGTGTGGCGACCCCGGAAATTTGAAATTGTGCTAGCCGAAATTAGTACCGGATTACTGATGGAACCAGATTACTGACTGCTGGATTAGTGATAGCCGACCTGTACTTATCTGCATACAATGGGCCCTCTTACAAAGCAACTTCATGTTATGTAACATGCTTGCAACTCGATTCAAAATGTGCAGCCCAAAATTTCACAGAATGGAAAAAAATCTTGATATTACATGCCATAAAGTATTGAAGAATTATCTAATGCATGAAATACTGATACTACACACCACAGCATCATTATGTACAAAATCTGCATACCTTCACTGACACCCACCACCACCTACAATTGTCTTCTGGAAGCATATTGTGCCTCACTTCCTACTGTTCAGGCCGCTTTGAATATTTCCATCATAGATATTAACCATTTGGTAGACAGCAACCGCCCAGGGAGGTACTACCGTCCTGCCAAGCGAGTGTAAAACGGAAGCCTGTAATTGTTTTACACTATGGTAGGATTGCTGGTGTCTTTTTTTCTGTCTCATTCACATGCAAGATTTCAGGTACGTCTTGCTACTTCTACTTACACTTAGGTCACACTACACATACATGTTCAAGCATATATATACACACCTCTCTGGGTTCTCTTCTATTTTCTTTCTAGTTCTTGTTCTTGTTTATTTCCTCTTACCTCCATGGGCAAGTGGAACAGAATTCTTCCTCTGTAAGCCATGCGTGTTGTAAGAGGTGACTAAAATGCCAAGAGCAAGGGGCTAGTAACCCCTTCTCCTGTATATATTACTAAATGTAAAAGGAGAAACTTTCGTTTTTCCTTTTGGGCCACCCCACCTCGGTGGGATATGGCTGATGTGTTGAAAGAAAGATATTAACCATGGCACCCAAGAGAAATGATGCAAGAGGTGCAAAGAACAGTATGTAAAAATCAATAACTTGTTTAAGAAAATAGAAGTGCTAGATACACTTAGAGGTGGTGCACATGTCATGGAGAAACCACCCATGAGTTATGTGTGAATGAATTAACCATCCATAAATTAAGCAGTACAGAGTATCACCCTCCCAAAAGTAATATCAGAGGGGTCACTAACACTAAATAACAGAGAAAAGTTACTGAATATGTAGACTGAAAAAGAAACAAAGGGGCCCTACTTAGTGTTCAGATAAGAAAGCACAAAGTTCTATTATACCATGAGTGAATTTTATGATAGTATAAACATGTTAACAGACTTTTATATGCATCTGAAAGTGAAAAAAAGGCTATGATTCACTTTACAGCAACTTTTGCTTTACAGCAGTAGCCGAGAACCTAACCTACTGTATAAGTGGGGCCTTCCTGTACATAATAACTTATTTTGGAGAGGATGCCAACAGATTTAGATAATTCTACTACCACAGCAACACAAGAAACACAACCATCCATCCCAGTCTAGTAGGGGCCACATCAACCCTCTCCACATTCTTCCATTTCAAGAAAACAGCATTACTAGAAGGTAACACAAGTTATATGGTAGTATTTTTTTTATATCACACTGGCTATATCCCACTAAGGCAGCACAGTAGTAAAAAAACATTTGGCAAATTTCAAATTATTAGGCATGTAACTATTTTCCCCACATTCTTTACTTCACCTAATACTATTTTACAGTAACAATTTTCAGGAACTTACTCACATGTTAAGATTTTCTGTAATCATGGGAAAACATTAAACCCAATGGGGACATTAGCACCTGAAATCCACTGAATGAGCAGCATTCAGGTTCAATCCAAGGGGTGAATAAATCAAGTTCCTTGGATCAAGAGCCCCTTATCAGCATCAAGGCACCTCCCTTGAGGGGTGTTTGGCTAAGAAGTGATATTATCCTTTATAAAGAGACAACAATTAGCATCATCATAGTGCCTGAAGAAGATATGTTTTGAGTGTGAAGAATGGTGAATAGTCCTAAAGCCTCTTAGTGTTGGTCAAAATGAGAAATTTACTTAAATATTACATTATGTAAAATTAAAAATAGCTCTTAGCTCGACAGCTGTCTCCCATCCTAGCATAATGACCTAAAGAAGAAAATGCATTCACCATCGTTTATTCAATGTCTTTCTAGATGTGTGCTGACACTACAATTCAGGTCACAATCTGACTGCAACATCCCCATCCTTCCTCCAGCATGCAGACAGCCCTTTCTCACCTCCTGGACTCAAGCTCAGCTAACCAGTTTCCCAGAATCTCTTCGTAAAAGTTATCTCGCTCACACTCCAACACATCCATGTTTCTCCATTTATACCTATATAACAAGCTTACATAAGGAATTATTATTCCTTATGTAAGCTTGTTAGGACTTGACGTGCTGTTGGAGTGTGATTAAAGTAACATTTATGAAGGAATTCAGGGAAACTGGCAGGCTGGACTTTGAGTCCTGGAGATGGGAAATACAGTGTCTGCACTCTGAAGGAGGGGTGTTAATGTTGCAGTTTTATAACTGTAGTGTAAGCACACCTCTGGCAAGAGTGTGATGGAGTGAATGATGAAAGTTTTCCTTTTTCGGGCCACCCTGCCTTGGTGGGAATCGGTTGGTGTGTTAATAATAATAAAAAAAGAAATAATTACTGTTATTACTAATGCAGGAAAGTACTAAACCCATATTGGTTCTTCAGTGATAATAAAGAAAGCTTACCATAGTTCTCCAATTCAATGACTGCTTTTGGAGCTTCACGAGTCATGTAGTGGATAGCATCCTGATCACCTAGCCAGTCAGAACCCTTCACTGTATCGTACATATGCCATATCCAATTGTCTGGCTGCCAAGAAATATTAAATTATACCTTAAATTTCTTAACCAGCTTTAATAAGGCATAAATACACTAATTAAATTATTATATTACAACACCATCATTATTAGAAAATTTATTTTATTATTTTTTATTAGCACACTGGCCGATTCCCACCAAGGCAGGGTGGCCCGAAAAAGAAAAACTTTCACCATCATTCACTCCATCGCTGTCTTGCCAGAAGGACGCTTTACACTACAGTTTTTAAACTGCAACATTAACACCCCTCCTTCAGAGTGCAGGCACTGTACTTCCCATCTCCAGGACTCAAGTCCGGCCTGCCGGTTTCCCTGAATCCCTTCATAAATGTTACTTTGCTCACACTCCAACAGCACGTCAAGTATTAAAAACCATTTGTCTCCATTCACTCCTATCAAACACGCTAACGCATGCCCGCTGGAAGTCCAAGCCCCTCGCACACAAAACCTCCTTTACCCCCTCCCTCCAACCTTTCCTAGGCCAACCCCTACCCCACCTTCCTTCCACTACAGACTGATACACTCTTGAAGTCATTCTGTTTCGCTCCATTCTCTCCACATGTCCGAACAGCCTCAAACCCTTCTTCAGCCCTCTCGACAACAGTTTTGGCAATCTCGCACCTCCTCCTAACTTCCAAACTACGAATTCTCTGCATTATATACACACCACACATTGCCCTCAGGCATGACATCTCCACTGCCTCCAGCCTTCTCCTCGCTGCAACATTCATCACCCATGCTTCACACCCATATAAGAGCGTTGGTAAAAACTATACTCTCATACATTCCCCTCTTTGCCTCAAAGGACAAAGTTCTTTGTCTCCACAGACTCCTAAGTGCATCACTCACCCTTTTCCCCTCATCAATTCTATGATTCACCTCATCTCTCATAGATCCATCCGCTGACACGTCCACTCCCAAATATCTGAATACATTCACCTTCTCCATACTCTCTCCCTCCAATCTGATATCCAATCTTTCATCACCTAATCTTTTTGTTATCCTCATAACCTTACTCTTTCCTGTATTCACTTTTAATTTTCTTCTTTTACATACCCTACCAAATTCATCCACCAACCTCTGCAGCTTCTCTTCAAAATCTCCCAAGAGCAGTGTCATCAGCAAAGAGCAACTGTGACAACTCCCACTTTATGTCTGATTCTTTATCTTTTAACTCCACGCCTTTTGCCAAGACCCTCGCATTTACTTCTCTTACAACCCCATCTATAAATATATTAAACAACAACGGTTACATCACACATCCTTGTCTAAGGCCTACTTTTACTGGGAAATAATCTCCCTCTTTCCTACATACTCTAACTTGAGCCTCACTATCGTTGTAAAAACTCTTCACTGCTTTCAGTAACCTACCTCCTATACCATACACCTGCAACATCTACCACACTGCCCCCCTATCCATCCTGTCATATGCCTTTTCCAAACCCATAAATGCCACAAAAACCTCTTTAGCCTTATCTAAATACTGTTCACTTACATGTTTCACTGTAAACACCTGGTCCACACACCCCCTACCTTTCCTAAAGCCTCCTTGTTCATCTGCTATCCTATTCTCCGTCTTACTCTTAACTCTTTCAATGATAACTACCATACACTTTACCAGGTATACTCAACAGACTTATCCCCCTATAATTTTTGCACTCTCTTTTGTCCCCTTTGCCTTTATACAAAGGAACTATGTATGCTCTCTGCCAATCCCTAGGTACCTTACCCTCTTCCATACATTTATTAAATAATAGAACCAACCACTCCAAAACTATATCCCCACCTGCTTTTAACATTTCTATCTTTATCCCATCAGTCCCAGCTGCCTTACCCCCTTTCATTTTACCCACTGCCTCACGAACCTCCCCCACACTCACAACTGACTCTTCCTCACTCCTACAAGATGTTATTCCTTCTTGCCCGATACATGAAATCACAGCTTCCCTATCTTCATCAACATTTAACAATTCCTCAAAATATTCTCTCCATCTTCCCAATACCTCTAACTCTCCATTTAATAACTCTCCTCGCCTATTTTTAACTGACAAATCCATTTATTCTCTAGACTTCCTCAACTTGTTAATCTCACTCCAAAACTTTTTCTTATTTTCAACAAAATTTGTTGATAACATCTCACCCACTCTCATTTGCTCTCTTTTTACATTGCTTCACCACTCTCTTAACCTCTCTCTTTTCTCCATATACTCTTCCTCCTTGCATCACTTCTACTTTGTAAAAACTTCTCGTATGCTAACTTTTTCTCCCTTACTACTCTCTTTACATCATCATTCCACCAATCGCTCCTCTTCCCTCCTGCACCCACTTTCCTGTAACCACAAACTTCTGCTGAACACTCTAACACTACATTTTTATACCTACCCCATACCTCTTCGACCCCATTGCCTATGCTCTCATTAGCCCATCTATCCTCCAACAGCTGTTTATATCTTACCCTAACTGCCTCCTCTTTTAGTTTATAAACCTTCACCTCTCTCTTCCCTGATGCTTCTATTCTCCTTGTATCCCATCTACCTTTTACTCTCAGTGTAGCTACAACTAGAAAGTGATCTGATATATCTGCGGCCCCTCTATAAACATGTACATCCTGAAGTCTACTCAACAGTCTTTTATCTAATACATAATCCAACAAACTACTGTCATTTCGCCCTACATCATATCTTGTATACTTATTTATCCTCTTTTTCTTAAAATATGTATTACCTGTAACTAAACCCCTTTCTATACAAAGTTCAATCAAAGGGCTCCCATTATCATTTACACCTGGCACCCTAAACTTACCTACCACACCCTCTCTAAAAGTTTCTCCTACTTTAGCATTCAGGTCCCCTACCACAATTACTCTCTCACTTGGTTCAAAGGTTCCTAAACATTCACTTAACATCTCCCAAAATCTCTCTCTCTCCTCTACATTCCTCTCTTCTCCAGGTGTATACACACTTATTATGACCCAATTTCGCATCCAACCTTTACTTTAATCCACATAATCCTTGAATTTACACATTAATATTCTCTTCTCTCCTTCCATAACTGATCCTTCAACATTATTGCTACCCCTTCCTTAGCTCTAACTCTCTCAGATACTCCAGATTTAATCCCATTTGTTTCCCCCCACCGAAACTCCCCGACTCCCTTCAGCTTTGTTTCGCTTAGGGCCAGGACATCCAACTTCTTTTCATTCATAACATCAGCAATCATCTGTTTCTTGTCATCCGCACTACATCCACGCACATTGAAGCATCCCAGTTTTATAAAGTTTTTCTTCTTCTCTTTTTAGTAAATGTTTCCAGGAGAAGGGGTTACTAGCCATTGCTCCCGGCATTTTAGTCGCCTCATACGACACACATGGCTTACGGAGGAAAGATTCTTTTCCACTTCCCCATGGACAATAGAAGAAATAAAAAAGAACAAGAGCTATTTAGAAAAAGGAGAAAAACCTAGATGTATGTATACACATATGCATGTGCGTGTCTGTGAAGTGTGACCAAAGTGTAAGGAGTAGCAAGATATCCCTGTTAACTAGCGTGTTTAAGAGACAGAAAAAGACACCAGCAATTAGAAAATTCTTGTATATTAAGTCTATAGCTTCAGTGGTGCATTTAAAAACACTGAGGCAGTAATAAAACTTGTCTGAAAATTAGTTTCTTGGCACACAGTTTTTTAAATGTACATATATGCAATACAGTTATATGAGCTGTAATTCATCCTCACTTAAAACAAATTAATATAGTATACAGCCTCTCCTCACTTACCAACGTACTCGTTTACCGACAACTTGCAGTTACGACGGGCTCTCCCACTAGTTGGTATTTTATGCCATACGAGAACTTGGGTCATGGAAATGGGCAGCATGGCATCTCAGCATCAAGCACCTCAATCTCCTTCCTACAGCCACCTAGTACACTAGCTTTCAGTTCTCCAAGACTACATATTTCATCTATAAATTTGTACTAATTTATTGTACACCCATAGTACAAAATAGAGTTAGAAGCACAGCAGCACTTGGAAGAGGAAAATGGAAGAAGTTCAAAAGAAGTTCACCGAAAAGGGGTTAGCTGGCATGTTCGAGTGTGCTTACATTCTCTGTCTCTCGTGGCAGCTTAACCCTTTGACTGTCGCAGGCCCCTTTCTGAAACTGTCATTCTATGTCGATAATTTAACCCTTTGACTGTCGCAACCCCCAATCCTAAGGTGTCTCCTGGTGTTGCAAAATTTAAAAAAAAAAAATTATTTTTCTTATGAAATGATAGAAAATCTTTTCCCGATTGTAATGACACCAAAAAAACGAAATTTGATGGAAAACTGGCGGAATTATGCTCTCGCAAAGTTAGCGACCTCGGCGCTGTTTACAAATTGTCGATTTCGCCCACTTGGAGCCCTATTTTCGGCTAATTCCATTGTTCCAGTCACCCAAACTCATAGCTATTTCTTTAGAACTCCATTTTTTCTATCGATTGAGTACAAGAAACTGCCCATTTACCGATTTCAACTACCTAATAATGTGGTCAGAAATTTGCAATTTGGCCAATTTCACGAAAACTAAAAAATATGACAATTTCAAAATAAGGTCCAGAATGAACAATGCAGACATTCCTGGCTCTAAAATAACATTTTCTTTGCTCATCAGTCATGTCTCCAGGCCCCTCTGATATTACTCTTGCTTTCTATTTTGAATTTTTATTCAAACAAAAAATAAAAGACTTACTATTATGCAGACTACTGCAATACTGTAATAATTGTATAAATAACATCAACCCATTCATGACTGCATATTAGAATGGCTAGTTAGACATTTATTGGACAATGGCGTCATTTGTTTACTTTTGAACATTGGCAAAAATCAAACATTTCCCCTACTTTGAGCTCCATTTCTAGGTTCTTTTTATATTTAAATCAATCAAAATCACCTCTATTTCTATAATATGTTTTCCATTCTATAAAATGAGACCAAGAAAACGAGAATACAACCATAAATACTATACAAAAATAGACCACAAAGTCGGCATTTTAATTAAAAAAAAAAAACGGTCGGAGTTTTTTTTTCTCATCATGCACTGCGTGCTCCAGGATTTTTTTATATGGTGCACACTGACCACACAGACCCATTCTCTCACATGTGGGCCTACCAGCTTTCTCCTGCTTGATTTGAAGCCGCTAGAATTTACAAGTATATACACGTCAAACACGGTACCTCGTAAAAGGTATATACATGTATACTGCCGCGACAGTCAAAGGGTTAAAAAAAAAAAAAATTATTATGAAATGATAGAGAATCTTTTCCCAGTGGTAATGACACCAAAAGTACAAAATTTGGTTGAAAACTCACGGAATTACGCTCCAGCAAAATTAGCGGTCTCGACGACATATACGCACTGGCAATTTCGCCAACTTTGAGCCCTGTTTTAGGCCAATTCTGTTGTTCCAGTTGACCACTCATAGCTATTTCTTTAGAACTCCATTTTGTCTATCAGTCGAGTACAAGAAACCACCCATTTACCGATTTGAACTACCCAATAAAGTGGTCAGAAATTGGCAATTTGGCCAATTTCATGCAAATTAAAAAAGATGCCAATTTCAAAACAGGGTCCAGAATAAACAATGTAGACATTCTTGGTGCTAAAATAACATATCCTCTGTTTATTAGTCATATCTCCAGGCCCCTCTTATATTACCATTGCTTTCTATTTTGATTTTTTATTCATACAAAAAAATACAAAATTTACTGTTATGCAGACTACTGCATTATTGTAAAAATGGTATAAATAATATCAGTGCACTAGTGAAAGAATATCAGACTCCCCAATTGAAGTGTATTGGAAGTGTGGTGTGATTTGCTTACTCCTAAACATTGGTAAAAATCGAACATTTCCGCTACTTTGACTTCAATTTCAAAGTCGTTTTCATCGTGAAAATAATCAAAATCATCTCTATTTCTGTAATATGTTTTCCATTTTATCACCTGAGACCACGAAAACGAGAATACAACGATAAATACTATACAAAAATACACCTCAAAGTCGGCGTTTTAATCCCCCCAAAAAACGGTCAGTTTTTTTTTTCTCATTACGCACTGCGTGGTGCAGGATTTTTTTGTGGTGCACACTGACCGCACAGACCCATTCTCTCACATGTGGGCCTACCAGCTTTCTCCCGCTTGATCTGAAGCCGCTAGAATTTATGCGTATAAATACGTATGAAACAGCGGCGCGTAAGACGTATATATACGACCAAAACAGTCAAAGGGTTAATTAATAAATGATTAAACTCAGTGAGCTTTAAATGTCAGCTACCTAACCAAACCACTCTAGAGTGACCATTAATTCTTTTTATTATTATTATTATTACCATCAACATACCTTGTTCACCGAGTTTAATCATTCGGACTCTTCAACGAGTCGGTACTTTATGCCGTACAAGAACCTGGGTCATGGAAACTGGCAGCGCAGCGTCTCAGAGTCAAGCATCTAATTAGATCTCCTTCCTACAGTTAATCAGTACATTAGCTTTCATTGTCTCCAAGACTACATATTTGTACAAATTTGTGCTTTATTGTGCATCCCATAGTACAAGATGTCGGCTAAAAGGAAGATCTTGACTTCACCTGAAGGAAGCACCAAGAAACAAAGGAAGGTTCTCAATCTTGAGGTGAAAATGAAGATTATAAACGAATATGAAGCTGGTAAGAAAGTGCAAGTGATAGCCGATAACTAAGTTGGGGCATTCTACCATTTCCACTATTTTGAAGGATAGAGATAGAGTAAAAGAAGCAGTGAAAGCATCAACAGGATTTCAAGCCATAATAATTAGGCAGCAGAAAAGCCTCATTCATGAAATGGAGAAATTACTGGCGATCTGGTATGACGATCAGATACAAACAAGAATGCTGATGAGCCTTTTAATTATTCAAACCAAGGCTTGAATAATTAACCCTTTGACTGTCGCGGCCGTATATATACGTCTTATGAGGTACCGTGTTTGACGTATATATACTCATAAATTCTAGCGGCTTCAAATCAAGCAGGAGAAAGCTGGTAGGCCCACATGTGAGAGAATGGGTCTGTGTGGTCAGTGTGCACCATATAAAAAAAATCCTGGAGCACGCAGTGCATGAGAAAAAAAAAACTCCGACCGTTTTTTTTAATTAAAATGCCGATTTTGTGGTCTATTTTCTTATAGTATTTATGGTTGTATTCTCGTTTTCTTGGTCTCATTTGATAGAATGGGAAACATATTATAGAAACAGCGGTGATTTTGATTGATTTCACTATAAAAAGAACCTAGAAATGTAGCTCAAAGTAGGGGAAATGTTTGATTTTTGCCAATGTTCAAAAGTAAACAAATGATGCCATTGTCCAATAAATGTCCAACTAGCCATTCTAATATGCAGTCATGAATGGGTTGATGTTATTTATACAATTATTACCGTATTGCAGTAGTCTGCATAATAGTAAGTCTTCAATTTTTTGTTTGAATAAAAATTCAAAATAGAAAGCAAGAGTAATATCAGAGGGGCCTGGAGACATGACTGATGAGCAAAGAAAATGTTATTTTAGAGCCAGGAATGTCTGCATTGTTCATTCTGGACCTTATTTTGAAATTGTCATATTTTTTAGTTTTCGTGAAATTGGCCAAATTGCAAATTTCTGACCACATTATTAGGTAGTTGAAATGGGTTTAAATGGGCAATTTCTTGTACTCAATCGATAGAAAAAATGGAGTTCTAAAGAAATAGCTATGAGTTTGGGTGACTGGAACAATGGAATTAGCCGAAAATAGGGCTCAAAGTGGGCGAAATCGCTGATTTGTAAACAGCGCCGAGGTCGCTAACTTCGCGAGAGCATAATTCCGCCAGTTTTCCATCAAATTTCGTTTTTTTGGTGTCATTACAATCGGAAAAAGATTCTCTATCATTTCATAAGAAAAAATAATTTTTTTTTTTAAATTTTGCGACACCAGGAGACACCTTAGGATTGGGGGTTGCGACAGTCAAAGGGTTAAAAGGCTCATCTTTGAGACTATCTATCTACATATCATATTTATTCCAGAATATTAGGTATAACAAATAACACAGAAGCCCGATAAAGATGCCCAAATTAATAAAAACTAACATTATACGGAGAGGTATTGAAAGGTGGGTGGCAGGGGAGGGGAAAAAAAAAAAAAAAAGTGACCACAACCATTACAGAAAAACGTCATGTGCCTGAAGGGGTAACTATAGAAGATCACTCCTTTCCTATGCAAAAACTGAAAAAAAAACTCAAATAATCAGCTATGCAAGTTTCCTAGAATATCTCGGAAGTAAGTTCTGGACCTATTTCATGTTGCATTACTGTTAACAATAAATGGATTGAAAGGATTTTCACAGCAACCACAAAACTGAATGTTTTAATTTTGGGTGGTGATATTTTTGAAGTATCATTAAGGGGTGGTTCCTTAATTAGCGACAAATTCATTTACCGACGTGGTCTTAGAAACGGAACTCTGTCGGTAAGTGAGGAGAGACTGTATACAGTACACTACTGTATATTTAAAAATACTATGTTATAAATGGTGCAAAGGTGACATTAAAACAATATCAAAGATGGTTGACACAAACCCACCACCACTGTAGTATGCTCCTCACTTAGCGACAAATTCGTTAACCAATGTAGTCTTAGGAATGGAACTCTGTTGTTAAGCGAGGAGAGGCTGTATTGTACTGAACAAATAATTTTACTTTTAGGTAGTTAAGTTATCAACCTTGGCTGTTATATTATTTTTGGGGAATGGAAGGAGGGGGTAAGATGGGGGTTACCGATAATCATTAACAGATTTTTCTTATAAACATTATCTGATGTTTTTATTAATGTGCTGTCATCGTGTCCTTTTATCTACAATATTTATTATTCTCTTCTTAATTTAGAAAATTGAATGGCCATGGTTTCTATGGACTGTAAAAACACTACTGTTAATGAAAATTATTATTCTGGCTATTGTCATCATATTTAACCCTTAAACTTTCCAAACGTAGATCTACATTCATGTGCGTAGTGTTCCGACCTTTATTTTCCTCATTTGAAAGCATGTAAAAAAAAAATGTAGATCTACGTTTGGAGCCCCTCGCACGTGAACGTAGATCTGCATTTGGACAGTTTAAGGGTTAATATAAATTTTCAAAAATCATGTGTACACTGTGAATAATAAAAACAAACTCAGATATACTACAGTAAAGCATTAACAATGGTGCATGTACTGAAACAGTACACTATGCAGTAATGCTGTGGTTTAAAACAGTGACAGAATAAGAACACCAATTCTGTTTGAGAATACAGTACTGTATTGTATAGAGAAAAGTCAAAAGCATGGTTTAATTAAGTAAAGAATGAGATTTAGGGCCATCCACCATCAATAAAGAATGGTAAAGAAATGGGTCAAGTGCACAATGAGAATTTTTGTGTGTGTATTACGGATACATAGTATTATACAGAACATCAATTTCAATTCAACCATCTAATAACACATTGAGAATTACCTCCATGTTGCCAAGAGCAGCATTTATACCACCCTGAGCAGCCACAGTGTGAGATCGTGTTGGGAACAGCTTGCTGATGACAGCTGTACGGAAGCCTTCCTGAACCAGACCAAATGCAGCACGTAAACCAGCACCACCAGCACCAACTACCACAGCATCATAAGTGTGGTCAACTACAGGGTAGTCTCGAGAAAGCTGCCAAAGAAAATTATCACAATTTTAAGCAAGACTAATGAAATGGGAGCAAAATTAACCTCAATAATACACATACATACAGAGTAATTTAAAAAATCATATGATGAACATACTAATAAAACAGGAAATTACCTGATCAGTAGTAGTTTTGGCACTGGCACATTTACCCTCCATGGAGAAATGGAAGTTCCTTGCATTACTTGCTGGCCGACCAAAGGTCACTGCCTGAAATATAAAATACATTAGTGTTTGACAAAATAAACTTTAATCTTTTCTTAAAAATTTTAAGTGCTTAAATTTCTATAGAAACTTTAACAATCTTCTTGTAATCAGTTCAATTATTTCTGACCAGAATTTGAAGAAATAACTGAAGGCAAAAAACTGAATGCTATCAAATAGCCAAAATGCTACTGATCTCTTGTATCTGAATGAACTTGCTTTGTGCATTCTGGCTGAACACAATTTATTTTTACACTCAAAAACCAATAGTATTTGTTTTGCGTAAGGTCATCCTGCTCTTATAAGACCTGAATTCCTGCACAATGGGTGTTAATGGTGAGCTTTCTATTTTGGTTCACTGAGTCTAGTTGTGGTTTAAGTAGGCATTAACATTACGAGTGAACACTTCATATTTATCTACCCATTGCCTTCATTTAAAAAAAAAAAAAAACTGTATAAACTGACAGATTATTATTCAACACTTACAATGTATATTTAACATACTTCCACACATTCAATGGTTGGTTATGGCTGCATATTTTTCTACCCAATACCATCATTTGAAAAAAATATTCTACACTAAAATACCTGTACTACATACTATTATTCAATAAACATTTATACTGAACACTTAATATAATTCCACACATTTTACAAATACTAAATGAGGTATTACTGCTGTGAGGGGCTGCAGACAACAGTAAAGAAAACATGCGTTGCAGAATATGCTTTTATTGGGACAATGTTTCACCGTGCAGTTTTATAATGTCCTGAAGCTCAACACAAGTGAAAAGCTACCCCATTAAAATCTTCTGCAATGTGTGTGTCTTTAATTCAATTTTGCTGTGAAGGGTGCAAACATGGTGTAAGGGAGAAGGTGAATATGAAGATTTCTTAAAAAAAAAAAAAAAAAAAAAAAAAAAAAAAAAAAAAAAAAAAGTGTTTCTTTCTGAACTCATTTTTACCTTTTTTCTGAGCAGTGATAAGGTAAACTGGACCATATAATATGACTGGCATCTAAAATATTTATCCTCAAAAGTATACAGCAAAATGTCTTGTGCATCCCTGTGTGATTAGCCTGCTTTTCTGATAATCATACTCTACCTATACTGCCTGCAGAACTGTACTAAATTAATTCATTACTTCACCCAAAATAAATACTGATTTATGTAAACTAACACCTTCCTCCATGTTTGCATTATCATCTACTGTACAAAGTACATGCATGTACAAAATGAAAAATAAAAAATGCAACACTTATAAGCAGTGGTACTAAATTTTACTTCTTCTAGTCATCATAAATTACTGTAGCTGTAAGTTTCCATACTTTGCATTTATTCATCAAATTAATTATCTGGATGTTATAATTTGAAATGATTTAATTTATTGTCTAGAAATAAGAATAAATTGTATTTTAAGGTCTACACCAGTTGGCAATAGTACACGTCACTGTTCAAATGGGATATTATCCGGTAGACAAACAGCAGCGTGTTCCAAGTCGCCACAGACGTCTTGTGGTATGGGAGGTATCTGGGAACAGTGAGGGCTGTTAAAAATATTTTTTGGAAGTCACTAAAGAAATGTACTTTATGCAGATATACTGTACTGTAAGCAAAATTCCTTCATTAACATACATGTTTTACAGGACAAAAGGGTACAGTTTCTTATTTTAGGTCTTCTAAAAATCCTGTGCAAACATGGGGCACTTCAAATGTCATACTGTACGCTTCAGTGAATAATGTCTAGTCTTACTAGTTGCAAACCAAACTTCCTTTTTTCAGTTGCATAACTCGTGTAACATTTACCAACATATTTCAGAATAATGTACAGTACATGCATTAATGAATACGTATATACACCTGGCATGTGTTTGAGGGAGAATTCACATTTTGATTGTATGCAGTACAAATTTCATTATGCATCAAATTTTGAAAGGATACAAGAAAGCACTGGTGTGGCCTTTGAGTTTGAGTGGGACAAACTGTAGCATCATTGAATCAAATATTTTGGGTAGCTTTATAGGTAGGATAGGCAGACACAGGAGTTGGAATGGTTGGAAGTGAGTAGGACTTGCCTTGCATGGGCCAGAAGGCCTGTCGTGCTCCTGTTATGTATTTTCCTGTGGATAGATAAGATACAAGTAACTACACAGTACCAAGAACATGAGGCTGGTACTATTCCCAGACATGGGTGAATGTAGTGTTCTTGTTCATGCGCCCAAGTGCTTGATTTAATATGGAGGCACCTACCAATGTACCTAAGCATTTTGGCAATTTTTTGGGATGAACACAATTAGGCAGGATGGTTTATTTTTTTTTTTTTTTGACAGGATGGACAATGAGACCTTCAAAACTAGGGATGCCAAGCCCATGATGACACTCTTCAGGTCGCTTGTTCTATCTAGGCTGGAATATTGCTGCACACTAACAGCACCTTTCAAAGCAGGTGAAATTGCTGACCTAGAAAATGTACAGAGAACCTTCACGGCGCGCATAACGGAGATAAAACACCTCAATTACTGGAAGCGCTTGAAGTTCCTGAACCTGTACTCCCTGGAATGCAGGCAGGAGAGATACACGATTATATACACCTGGAAAATCCTAGAGGAACTAGTACCGAACTTGCACACGAAAATCACTCAAAACGAAAGCAAAAGACTCGGCAGACGATGCAACATCCCCCCAATGAAAAGCAGGGGTGTTACTAGCATGTTAAGAGACAATACAATAAGTGTCAGGGGCCTGAAACTGTTCAACTGCCTCCCAGCATACATAAGGGGGATTACCAATTGACCCCTGGCTGTCTTCAAGCAGGCACTGGACAAGCACCTAAAGTCGGTACCTGACCAGCCGGGCTGTGGCTCGTACATTGGATTGCGTGCAGCCAGCAGTAACAGCCTGGTTGATCAGGCTCTGATCCACCATGAGGCCTGGTCACAGACCGGTCTGCGGGGGCCCCCGGAACTCTCTCCAGGTAAACTCCAGGTAGGTTAAGTTGGTAAGTTAGCTTAGGCAGTTATTTTTGCCATACCCTGACAAATAGCACTGGCTGCCAGTTCCACAGGCAAAGTAGAACAGACGATAGTAGCACTGAGCACTAATACATTATTCTGTATATTAGCAATACAGTACTATGTAAAGCATTTGTCCCGTAGCTCAGTTGGTAGCACACTTGGCTCACGCATTGAGTGTCCGTGGTTCGATCCCCGGTGTGGGTAGAAACATTGGGCATGTTTCCTGAAGACATCTGCTGTCCCTGTTCACCTAGCAGCAAGTAGGTACTGGTGTGGTCGCATCCTGGAAACTAAATTAACCCAAATGCCCAAAATACTCTGCATAAATTGTAACATGTACTTGTAGAAATAAAGATTATTATTACAGCCTCTCCTCACTTAACGATGGAGTTCCATTCCTAAGACCTCGTCGCTGAATGAATTCATCTGTAAGTGAGGAGCATACTATAATGGTAGTAGGTTTGTGTCAACCATCTTTGATATTGTTTTAATGTCACCTTTGCACCATCATTTTTAGCATTTCTGGTATATTTTTAAATGTTTATACAGTAGTGTACTGTATATTGTAATAAACATAACAGAGGAAATCAGCTCTAACATATATTATTCAGGTATGAATCCTGGTCAAAAAGCCCATCGTAAGTCCAAGTTGTCAGTAAACGAGTACGTCGCTAAGCGAGGAGAAGCAGTATTATATATGCAAACTAAAATTCAATGCTTATTACATTCATATAAAGCATCAAACCTTGGTGATGAAGTTAGGGGTAAAGAGGCAGAAGTATTGATAGCAAATACAATGGCAAAAGGGGGCAGTCACAGTGAAGTTTTCAATTTCAGTTAAATATGTAATCTGAATCTACATCAAATGAGGAACTTTCTGACAGGAAGGTTAGCAAAAGCATGTCAGGGTGTTGAAAGATGATAAATATGAATATGGAATGTTCTCAATAAACACAACAAAATGTTAGATTGTCAGCAGGGCATGACAATTCTGCGAGTAGTGCTGGACACTCCTCCAGGAGATGTTCATGTGAAGAATAAGCACATTAGAAGATTCTAATGACTGACAGATGAAGAGACAATAGCCAGAAACCAAACTGCAGTTAGAGTATAATAAAAACAGCTTACTGATATCTACCCAAAACCAAAGACAGTTGTAAGTACCAAATTAGTACTGGAAAAATATTTCTAAAGCCAAATGATCACCAGATACTGAAAAATATCCTGAAGTGTAGAAATGCCATGGAGTTTGCACTGAACATGAGAATAGTCACAAACTGAGCAAAAGAGTTCATTTTTTGTTTGCTGAAAATGACCAGTAGTCAGCAACTATTAAAAAATGTATTACTGTCCTTTTCAACAGTTCTAACAATGAAGCCTGTTATGTGAATTTACACTCAGGCAGGACTGATGGTCTATTCTTTCTATCTCATCTTACAAACTTTTACATATATTTAGTATATATTTATCTTTACTTTCCTGTTTCTCAAATGTTCTTTTTCTTGTTCATGTAATTTTTTTAATATAAGAAGCTTGTCTAAGACCGAGCTACAGGAACTTTGATCCCTGAACTATCAACAGAAGGAAGAGTAGACAGACTGGGAATGGAAAGAAAAAGCAGACAGACCATAGCAATATCTGAAGACAGAGGAGAGAATTAAGAGAAAGGAAGAACAAAGACAACTAGATCAAAGGACTATTATATATAGAGTCTATAAGGATAGAGTGAAGGATCTAATAAAGAGCAGCAGTAAATCAAATTTAGCTATATAATGTCAAAGAATCCAACAGTGTATGAAGGCCATCAAACCAATTAAAATAACTGATATGTAAACAATCCCATAATAAACCACATACAGGGTTTTCACATGGTACGGTAAAAAAAAAAAAAAGGGCCCCTAGATATAAATGTAAGCCTTCATAATGAGTGACATCTATTGTAGCCCAGAAAGAATGGGCATAGCAGCAAGAAGCCTACTGTATACCTGTGACCATTTCAAGGGTTTTACCCAGGGAGGCCAGGGTGAGGCCAAGCTGTGGGTGCTAACAGCCCTCAGGGCCACACAGTCATCACAACTTGCAGGAGATAACTGTTTTCTTTCCTCTTGAACTACAGATGTTAACAGCATTCTCTAACTGTATATATGACACTGCTGCTTTTCACTGTTTATTGTACGTTTTCTCCCTTTCCAACATAAGAACATAAGGAGCACTACAACAGGCCTACTGGCCCATGCTAGGCAGGTCCATGTCACTCCCACTCCTGTTCTTTTCTAACCTATTGTCTAACCTTGACGGTATTGTATACCAGTACAGCATGAGTGGGCATGGTTGGTTATGAGTGGGCATGGTTGGTTATGAGTGGGCATGGTTGGTTATGAGTGGGAATGGTTGGTTATGAGTGGGTATGGTTGGTTATGAGTGGGCATGGTTGGTTATGAGTGGGCATGGTTGGTTATGAGTGGGAATGGTTGGTTATGAGTGGGCATGGTTGGTTATGAGTGGGAATGGTTGGTTATGAGTGGGTATGGTTGGTTATGAGTGGGCATGGTTGGTTATGAGTGGGCATGGTTGGTTATGAGTGGGAATGGTTGGTTATGAGTGGGAATGGTTGGTTATGAGTGGGAATGGTTGGTTATGAGTGGGAATGGTTGGTTATGAGTGGGTATGGTTGGTTATGAGTGGGAATGGTTGGTTATGAGTGGGCATGGTTGGTTATGAGTGGGAATGGTTGGTTATGAGTGGGTATGGTTGGTTATGAGTGGGCATGGTTGGTTATGAGTGGGAATGGTTGGTTATGAGTGGGAATGGTTGGTTATGAGTGGGAATGGTTGGTTATGAGTGGGAATGGTTGGTTATGAGTGGGAATGGTTGGTTATGAGTGGGAATGGTTGGTTGGGTGTAGTTGGACTTGCCTACCATGAGCCGGTTCACAATAAAATATCTTTCCTGAAACTACAACCATTTCCAACTATTTTTCCAACCTGATGCACATCTCTCCTATATTCTGGCGACCAAACACACTTCATACAACCAAATTTTCACACCATTTACAAACAAAATCAGCTGTTCACACCCATACATAACACTTGAACTGTTGTTATAGACTCTGGCTGGATTTAACCAGAGGTAACACCTACCAGGGACTGTGGGAGAAGCTTCCCAGCGACTATGGAGGAAGTTTTTAATAAGGACGCCATTGCTAGCCTTAATTATGGGAGGATATCACAGCAGCAGTAACAACAGTTAAACAGCAGCAGCAGCAGCAGCAGCATCAGGAGGAGGCTCGTCCCCAGCCACTCTGTTAGCCAGCCAAGTATTACATAGTTACTAGTAAGTTCATTTAGGTACAAATACACCATTTTTGGATGAATTATCTTTTCTTATATATAAATATATATGTAAATTACCTACAGTAACCCCTAGAAAGTCAGACTTATTTCCACTGGGGTCCTTATTGCCGTTGGTTTATTAAATTTAAAGCCTATGTATGAGCTTTTATTAAGGTCTTGTGGAAAATTGCATTTATCTGAATGTAACTCATTATGTACATAACAGTAAATGATAACAAAGATAATTATTATTTGTCAGAGTTACCTGTAAATATAAAAAAAAAACCCCCTGTTTAAAAATTTCAAGTCTTTTTCCAAGATCACTTACTCACCCAAAACCAAAAAAATCTAAATAAAAAAACCCTTAAAAAATTGTTATCTTAAAAGTTCCCCAATTATATCACAAAAATGTTAACCCCTAAAACCAAATTTTCTAACTTTATTATTTTTTAAATACACCCCTAAAAGTCACTACCTAACTGAATAAAACCATATGACCTTTTTTTTGTAATACTCCCCTTGTCTTTTAGTAATTTTTTTCATTAATGTTTCACTGATTCATCATTCTTATTTTAATCTTAATTTAAATTTTTAAAACCACCCGGGAATGCTATGCATAGTATAAGGGTTTTGGGCATCTGCTCTTATCTGTATTTTTTTGTCCCTTGTATGTGCTCAAATTGGGAAATAAAAAAACATAGACAAGTAGAATTTAGGACCCTAGCCCAAAAAAAATGCCCCCTTCGTACCTACCACTCCATACCTAAAATGGGGAATTACAAATAAATTGTTGCAAAAATAACACCAGGAGGAAAGCTCTGATGAAAACTCACTCACACGAGCTTTTAAATCTCCAAAAAAATTCTTTTTAAAAACCAGCAAATAATAGAGCCTACAATGGAAATACACAACTCAATTTTACAACAATGATGACGATAAGAAATGTCACCCTATCAAAAACAAAAATACCGATCACAACAAATTTAGGTTCAGACTGTATGCGTGGACCCCAGACCCACAAAATAACTATCCGAGGGGAGCTTCACCAAATTTAACTTCAATAAAAAAAAACATAAAGTGGGACCAAATAAACCAAATCCTAACCGATTAACTGGGGAAAATAACTAAGCAACACAGACCCAAATTAGAAAAAAACAATTAACTGGTGGCACTCGATGTATGCACAAGGCTTTTTCCCTAAGAAAAAAGGAGTATGAAAAAAAGAAAGGACAGGCGCCCCCTTTACAGGCGACGGAAAAGAATAACAGAGCGGCTAAAAGAGGTCAAATATCTGAAATGCGCAGGGAGACCACTGGTCAGAGAAATAGCAAGCATCGAACTTAAGCTAAAAGAATCCTTTAGGAGTCAGGAATCGCGGGAAGAACTAAAAGCCATAAATGAAATCGAAAAAAACCCCAAAGTATTTCTTTTTCCTATGCCAAATCAAAATCGAGAACAACGTCCAGTATTGGGCCCCTACTTAAACAAGATGGGTCCTAACACAGATGACAGAAAGGGAAAAATGAGTGAGCTACTCAAGTCCCAATATGACTCAGTTTTAGCAAGCCGCTAACCAGACTGAGAGTCGAAGATAAAAAATGAATTTTTTATGAGAGAGCCACAAAATTTGATTAACACAAGCCTATCCGATGTTATCCTGACGCCAAATGACTTCGAACAGGCGATAAATGACATGCCCATGCACTCTGCCCCAGGGCCAGACTCATGGAACTCCGTGTTCATCAAGAACTGCAAGAAGCCCCTATCACGAGCCTTTTCCATCCTATGGAGGGAGCAGGACACGGGGTCGTCCCTCAGTTACAAAAAACAACAGACATAGCCCCACTCCAAAAAGGGGGGCAGTAAATCAACAGCAAAGAACTACAGCCCAAATAGCACTAACATCCCCATAATCATAAAAATCTTTGAAAGGGTCCTAAGAAGCAAGATCACCACCCATGTAGATACCCATCAATTACACAACCCAGGGCAACATGGGTTTAGAACAGGTCGCTCCTGTCTGTCTCAGCTACTGGATCACTACGACAAGGTCCTAGATGCACTAGAAGACAAAAAGAATGCAGATGTAATATATACAGACTTTGCAAAAGCCTTCGACAAGTGTGACCATGGCGTAATAGCGCACGAAATGCGTGCTAAAGGAATAACAGGAAAAGTTGGTAGATGGATCTATAATTTCCTGACAAACAGAACACAAAGAGTAGTAGTTAACAGAGTAAAGTCTGAAGTGGCTACGGTGAAAAGCTCTGTTCCACAAGGCACAGTACTCGCTCCTATCTTGTTTCTCATCCTGATATCTGACATAGACAAGGATGTCAGCCACGGAAACCGTGTTTTCCCCTTGCAGATGACACCCGAATCTGCATGACAGTGTCTTTCATTGCAGACACTGCAAGGCTCCAGGCGGACATCAACCAAATCTTTCAGTGGGCTGCAGAAAACAATATGAAGTTCAACGATGAGAAATTTCAATTACTCCGATATGGTAAACATGAGGAAATTTTAAAACTTCATCAAGCACAAAACAAATTCTGGCCACAAAATAGAGCGAAAAAAACCAACGTCAAAGACCTGGGAGTGATCATGTCGGAGGATCTCACCTTCAAGGACCATAACACTGTAACAATCGCATTGCTAGAAAAATGACAGGATGGATAATGAGAACCTTCAAAACTAAGGATGCCAAGCCGATGATGACACTCTTCAGGTCGCTTGTTTTATCTAGGCTGGAATATTGCTGCACACTAACAGCACCTTTCAAGGCAGGTGAAATTGCTGACCTAGAAAATGTACAGAGAACCTTCACGGCGCGCATAACGGAGATAAAACACCTCAATTACAGGGAGCGTTTGAAGTTCCTGAACCTGTACTCCCTGGAACGCAGGCGGGAGAGATACATGATTATATACACCTGGAAAATCCTAGTGGGACTAGTAACGAACTTGTACACGAAAATCACTCACAACGAAAGCAAAAGACTCGGCAGATGATGCAACATCCCCCCCAATGAAAAGCAGGGGTGTCACCAGCACGTTAAGAGACAATACAATAAGTTTCAGGGGCCTGAGACTGTTCAACTGCCTCCCAGCATACATAAGGGGGATTACCAACAGACCCCTGGCTGTCTTCAAGCAGGCACTGAACAAGCACCTAAAGTCGGTACCTGACCAGCCGGGCTGTGGCTCGTACGTTGGATTGCGTGCAGCCAGCAGTAACAGCCTGGTTGATCAGGCTCTGATCCACCAGGAGGCCTGGTCACAGACCGGGCCGCAGGGGCGTTGACCCCCGGAACTCTCTCCAGGTAAACTCCAGGTATCCAATTGTTGTAATTCATCCCGGTCTACATGCCCTCTTGGACCCAGGTCCAGAATGAATTTCTACATTTTGTTCTGGGTGATTTGTAGCTATCTTTCAGTTTTTTTTTTTTTGCTAAGGTAGAGTACAATGAAGAGCTAGACGTAAGGTCCTGCGAGCCTCAGTTGGTAGGCACCGTGCCTGTTTGTAGAGGAACTTTACAGACAGGTACAGTGTCTGTCTACTGAGACTCGCAGGACCCTATGTCTAGCCCTCAAACAATGTACTATAGACTACTCTTGCACTTCATGGTACTCTGTCTTAAAAAAAACAGAAAACTGAAAGATAAGCTATAAATCACTTAGAACAAAATAGTAAGATTCATCCTGGACCTGTGGGTCCAAGAGAACATGTAGGTCAGGATGAATTACAACACCTGGATATGTTGAATGTTGAAGACAGAGTAAAACAGCTGAAGCTAAATTATGTTTATATGATTTATATATGACAACTGTACTTATGTGTACTGTACCTGTCCCTGTACCTGTGACCTCTTCTGGGTTATCCTAGGTAATTTACACATATGCTACTATGTATGACAATTTGTATAACTGTATTTATGTATACCTGTACCTAAATAAACTTACAAATTTCTCTAAAATATATGTTTTAGTTTATCATGATATATTATTTTCTTTATGATAGTGGACTAGCTACGTTTTCTTTCTTAGTTTTCTTGGTAGGGAAACTAATATATGTTTCAAATATTTAGCGATAATGAAGTTTCAACGGTATTCTCAGCTGTGGCTATACCAGATACATTGACCATAGGTTCAGTCCCTTATTACATTAATTATTCCTTTGTGACATTCAAAACAACACAAGACTGGAAACAGGTAAGTGAGGTACTCAGGCACACAAGAGATATGGCAAGTGTTATTTTTAAGTGACTTATAAGGTTTATATAATATTACAAGGGCCTCAATGGAAATAAGTCACTTTTTTGGGTCATCTAGATAATCTACACATATGATGCTATGTATGATAATTTATGTAACTTGTGAATTTTTTTTTTAATTTTCCTAAATTCAGCGTGTAAAAATGAATAGTATAATAATTGCGTATTAAAATGTGATGCTGATTTGACCCTTCAAGACATTTTGGTGGCCTGGTGGGTAAAGCTCTCGCTTCACACGGCGAGGTGTCTGGGTTCGAGTCCAAGCCAGGGTAGAAACATTGGGCGTGTTTCTTTACACCTGTTGCCTATGTTCGCCCATTAGTAAAATGGATATCTGGGTGTTAGTCGACTAGTGTGAGTCGCACCCTGGGACACTGGCCTAATTTGCCCGAAAAGCTCAGCATAACAAGGGGCTTTCTATATAGCATGTCATTGATGTCAGCTAGGCCTATACACCATGTACACGTGTTTGTAGTAAAAAGATATTTTATTATTATTATTATTATTATTATTATTATTATTATTATTATTATTATTATTATTATTATTATTATTATTATTATTATTATTATTATTATTAAGGAGGGTGTGCAGTGGCTGCGGAGTGATACAAGGGAGGAGGACGCCATAGTGAATTCATGTGTGAACACTGGTCGGTTAGTGGTGGTGAGTAATCCGGCGTCATTGAGGCCATAATTGGGTG